GGCAGACAGCCAGTAGAGCAGGTATGGGTGTGAAGGTCAGGATTCTGTCTTGGAGAAGTTAAAGATGAGATGTCTGGTAGGCAGCTGGCTAGAGGTGTGCACTGCATATTAAGAGTGCTTAGGTGCGCCCTGACCGGTTTGGCTCAGTGGACAGAGCGTCGGCCTGTGGACTGGAAGGTCCCAGGTTCGATTCCGGTCAAGGGCATGTACCCTGGTTGCGGGCACATCCCCAGTGGGGGGGTGTGCAGGAGGCAGCTGATCGATGTTTCTAGCTCTCTATCCCTCTCCCTTCCTCTCTGTGAAAAATCAATACAATATATTTTTTAAAAAAAAAGAATGCTTAGGTGCAAGAGTATCTCCAGAGAGACTGCTGGTTGTAGAGTATGTACATTATCACCTGCACAAGAAAGTAATTTGGCCGAAACCGGTTTGGCTCAGTGGATAGAGCGTCGGCCTGCGGACTGAAAGGTCCCAGGTTCGATTCCGGTCAAGGGCATGTACCTGGGTTGCGGGCACATCCCCAGTGGGAGATGTGCGGGAGGCAGCTGATCGATGTTTCTCTCTCATCGATGTTTCTAACTCTCTATCTCTCTCCCTTCCTCTCTGTAAAAAATCAATAAAATATATTTAAAAAAAAAAAAAAAAAAAAAAAAAGAAAGTAATTTGTTTTGTTATGACAACCACAGGTTGTTTGCTGTTTACCTTGATTATCTTAATATTATCACACACACACAAAAACATATATATTTGGTTTTTAAAAAACAGACCATCGCCGAAACTGGTTTGGCTCAGTGGATAGAGCGTCGGCCTGCGGACTGAAGGGTCCCAGGTTCGATTCCGGTCAAGGGCATGTACCTGGGTTGCGGGCATATCCCCAGTAGGAGATGTGCAGGAGGCAGCTGATCGATGTTTCTCTCTCATCGATGTTTCTAACTCTCTATCTCTCTCCCTTCCTCTCTGTAAAAAATCAATAAAATATATTTTAAAAAAAAAACAACAAAAAAAAACCAGACCATGTGTATATGTGTGTTTCTCATTGAGATAATTGTAGAATTACATGCAATTCAATGAAATAATGAGAAATAGAGCTTTTGTACACTTTGCCCATTTTCTCCCAGTGATAACATTTTGCAAAACTAGAGTATAATACCACATTGACATTGACACAATCCACCGACCTTACAGATTTCTCCACTTTTCTTTGTACTAATTTGTGTGTAGATGGGTATTTAGTTCTATACAATATTTTACCTGTCTAGGTTTGTGTGTTCACCACCACAGTCAAGACACTGAGCAGTTCCAACACCTATAACCACACCTACCACCCTTCCATACCCCTCTACCTTATAGATATATGTTTGGATTAGTTTTGATTAGCATTTTTTAAGTTGTAGTAAAATACATATAACATATCCCTAGCTGGTTTGGCTCAGTGGATAGAGCGTTGGCCTGCGGACTGAAGGGTCCCAGGTTCGATTCCGGTCAAGGGCATATACCTTGGTTGCGGGCACATCCCCAGTAGGAAGTGTGCGGGAGGCAACTGAATTGATGTTTCTCTCTCATCAATGTTTCTAGCTCTCTATCCCTCTCCCTTTCACTCTGTAAAAAATCAATAAAATATATTTTTAAAAAAATACATATAACATTTATCATCTTAATCTTTTGAGTGTATAGTTCAGTAATGTTATGTATATTCACATTGTTGTGTAAAATATCTACAGAACTTTCTCATCTTCCAAAACTGAAACTATATACCTGATAAGCAACAACTCTCCATATTCCCTTTCCCCAGCTCCTGGCAACCACTATTCTTTCTGTCTCTATGAATTTAACTACTCTAGAGACCTCATATAAGTGGAATCATACAGTGTTTGTGCTTTTGTGGCTGGCTTATGTCAATTAGCATAATGTCTTCAAGGTTTATCTATGTTGTAGCATGTCTGAATTTCCCTTTTTAAGGCTGAATAATGTTCCATTTTATGGATATACCAGAACTTGCTTATCCATTTATCCATCAAAGAACACTGATTGCTTTCCCTCTTGGTTATTGTGAATAATGCTGCTGTGAACATGGATGTATAAATATGTCTTCAAGACTCTGCTTTTAATTCTTTTGAATATATACCCAGAAGTGGAATTGCTGGATCCTAGGTAATTCTATTTTTAATTTTTTGAGGAACCACCATACTGTTTTCCATGGTGGCTGCACCATTTTACATTCCTACTAGCAATGGATAAGTGTTCCAATTTCTCTATATCCCACCAGTACTGTTCTTTTCCTTTTTCTTCTTTTGATAGTATCCATCCTAATAAATGTGAGATGACATCTCATTCTGGTTTTAACTTGTATTTCCTTGATAGTTTAATGATGTTGAGCATTTTTTTCATATGCTTGTTGGCCATTTTGTATGTCTTCTTTGGAGAAATGTCTGTTGAAGTCCTTTGCCCATTTTTTAATTGAATTTTTTCCTATTTTTGCCATTGAATTTTAGGAGTTCTCTATATGTTCTGGACATTAATCCCCTAGAGAGGCAGCAAACCACAGTATTTAATGCCTTGGGCTCTGGATCCAGATACCTAGACTCTACCAGGCAGCTGTAGGGTTTTGGGCAACTTTTTTAACATCTCTGTATGCCTCAGTTCCCCTCTCATGGTAAAATGAGGATGTCAGAAGTATTTAGCTCAGAGGGCCAGGTGAGATTTATAGAATGGCTTGGACTGGACTGCCTGCAGGTTTTGAGATCCTCGAGAGCATGTCATGAGCGGGAGAGGTGAGGGTCTGGCCTTGGAAAGGCAGAGCTCCATAGACATCCCCCAGCATGGCTCTGGCTCTCCTAGGCGTGGCTGGCTGGCACCTCTAAGGGCTGGCCTGCCACAGATGCCCCAGGAGGCTCCAAGTGGAGATGGCAGCACTGATGAGGTCTAGGCTCCCGCTGCTGTACTCATTACACTTAGAGATCTCTGCTCTTTTAAAGTTCACAAGGCTCCTAGTGGTGCTAATTGGTCACTGTCCTCTGGTGTCTGCCATACTCCAAGCCTCAGTCTTAGCACTAGCCATGGTCTCAGCATTTCTTACAGCCTTTGGAGGAGTGGCATCTGCACCACTCAAGGCTGGGCCCACAGCCCCAATTGTCCTGTCTTGTTTCTTGAGGCTCACCTGTGAGGCACTTCTCACAGCCAGAGATGGTCAAGAAACCCACCTTTTTTGCAACTGTTTCCCTCCCAGACCCTCAGCCTATGGAAAAAGGTGGCACATTCTCAGCCACAGCGTGGGGACTCTCTGGCTTATCACACATGGCAGCCACCAAGCCCGGGAAGGGTGTGGGTGTGCCAGCATGGGCCTGAGTGCACATGCATGGAAGGACCAGTTGGAGCACTTTCAGTCCTTACCTGTGTTCTCAGCACCTGCCTTTTTAGCCCACTCTGTCTAGTCGTTTTCTGGAGTCCTTTCTTGAAGATGAAGGTGGGAGTGGTCAGGTCTGCCCTGTCCAGGCTATTGGAGAATAATAACTTGCAGGCTTCCTCTTCAGGTCTCTGTGAGTGCACTCCACTGCTGGGTCTGGCTCCTTCAGAGATCATGCAGTACCAAGCTGTGTCAGGGCTTGTCTTGTGAACTCTTGGAATGAAAGCTCAGAGCAAGACCAGGGCTGCAATTTCATGTGTTTGGGACAGCTTTGAGCACGCTGCAGTGCTCCAAGAGTGCAGTCCGCCGCTACTTGGCTGTCGCTATAGAACTCTGGCTCTTGGGTGTGGGCCTGGAAGTAACTAAGGGGCTCAGAGACCAGGCCAGAGCTGCTAGCATGGCCTGTTGTGGTAGCCTTTGTTGTTTTGGAATTCAGTAAGTACTGGAGATGAAATAGCATGAGGTGTGATCTTCAAATTTTCCTAGGTTTCTACTTGCTCCCTAAGACAAAATAGGGTGCTTATACCGGCTTCCTGTTGGCTTGGCACAGCTGTGTCTCCCACTAGCATGTAATGACCAGTGAGAAGGGAGCACATTTCCCCTGGCCTGTGGCAGCTCTTGCATGATTGGACAGAGAGGTCTGGCTCCAGAGTGAGGGAAGAGGGTGCCACCAGGACTAGTGCTGGCATTGCCTTTTGATTTCCACACATGGATGTGAGCCCTGGCAAGACTTTCAGCTCTTAAGCAACCACTGCCCACACTTGCTACCTTGTAGTTCTAGAGCCGGTAACTCTTGTCCTAGTGCCCATACCACCTTTCCTTGGGTGACAGCGATAGAGCATCCTTGATTAAGAGACTCTTTGGCAACAGCAATTGCTCGTGCTCAATCCATTGTCGCACCATCTAAATTTGTCACTGAACAAATATTACTGAGCTACCACTCACCAGTGAACAGCTATTTGGACATCGGGCACGTACCATGGAAGGAGGATCAGCAAAAAGAGATGCCGAGAAGGCCGACTCTCCATGGACATTGATGCAGTACAAATGTATCGGGGTGAAGCTTTTTGGAAGCAGAAGCATGATGAGGGAAGCAGTGTGTTGCAGACAACCACTGGCCCTACCCAGCTCTCAGTCAGCAGAAAAGCCAGGGCATGCATCCCTTGTCCAGGCTGATGGCTGGATGTACTAGTATATCCTAGTAGCCCCTGTGACTCAGAGCTGTTGTCATGAATAGCCTTTACAAACATGTATCCTCGGAAGGTGTCAAGCTCTTATCCAGTAGACCTCTGTGTAAATGCCGAGGTGACCTATGGGCTCAGTCATTCTAGGGGTGAATTGCTTAGTCCCACTTTTATACTTTCATCTAGTTAATGTCACTTGGACAGTGTTCCAGCAGTTTATACTTTAAAACTTATATCACTCCGCCCTCACTGTCAGGTGAGTGTACATGATAGTATATTACTAGTATTTTTCCTAGGATCAGTAATTAGGGATATTGTTTGAATAACCAATATTTTAAAAGTTTGAGTCTGTTGCTATTCTTAAGTGAATAGAAGCCAAGGCGATGTTGTGTGTGTTTTTTCTTTGTTTCCAGGCAAGCCAATATTTTCAGTTGATATTCACCCTGACGGGACCAAGTTCGCAACTGGAGGACAAGGTATGTTCATGGAATAACAGGAATGCTCACAGCCCTGCGCCTAACTCTGCTTCTCCTGGCCACCCATTGAGCTATAGAAAGAATATTTGCTGGTTTCAGTATAGATGTGACTCAGTTTAAGTCTGAACAAGTCACATCAAAATCCGTTTTTGGCACTAGAGTGTGCTCTGTATAGATATTTCGGTAGCAGGTTTACCTTTCTAATTTCTGTTTATTGGGTTGATATTAGAATCAATTTGCATGTCCGAGCCCAAGCTTATTGAGCATGAAAAGTGGCAGGTAGTCTCCTGGACAAAGCTCCAGCCCCAGAGGCAAGGGCTCTTGGTCCTCATCTTGGTTCTGGCAGTGTTTTCTCATCTGTAAAGGGGGAGGAGATGGTTAACCTCTGGAGTCAGTCATGTAGTTATCAGGCCCATTCTCCAGGCTCAAAGCAAGTCAAGTGGGTTAGAGCGCAAGTACAAATGTGCACACCATTTGAAAAGATGATCCATGGTATTGTCGGTGTGTTTTACCCAGTGCCTGCTGCAATATTGCAGTAACAACTCTGGAAAGGCAAAGTCACTTTTGAGGCCAGGACACCAAGATGTATATATGGTCACACAAAGTAGCATTCCCGCAGAGCCCAGTCCCCGGCAGCTCCACTACAGAGCATGGTCTCCCTCTGGCTGAGGCCTCCCTGGACAGGACTGGAGAGTGCCCCTGGGAGGTCCAGGTCTGCAAGTGCTGCAGAGCAGGTTGTCTGAAGACTTCCTGCTGCTGGGGCTTACAGGGAAGCCTTGATCTCCTTCCAGCGTGCTGCCGGCTGCACCCGAGAGGTGCCCACAGGCGTCACCTAGGACCAGTGGACCTAGCTGGGGTGACAGAGTTTTCTCCTCATCCACAAGAAGAGGCACACCTTCCTGACCTACTCGGCATACTACACTCTAGAAGAGCTGATTTAAAAATATGTTTACACCCTAGCTGGTTTGGCTCGGCGGATAGAGCATCGGCCCCTCTATAACAGAAAGTTAAATGAGGGGCTGGATTTTGTTAGTTACCAGTAATGGAAATCTTAGAAAGAGAAATCATTACTGAAATGCATAGATATATTTTTTAGCCCAATACTACATCAGCCTATGACCACAGGCACCCGAAATGCCCTCTTTTGGTTGATCTCTCATCTGTTGATGGCAAAGAGCCGGTGAGATAATGAGGACCTTTTCTAGTGTTTAAGGCACATTTCAGACCGGGGTCTTAAAGCACCCATGTGAGAACAGCCATGGACTGCAGGCAGCACCTGAAAAGGGAGAGAAGCCCATGCAGAGGCCTGAAAGGGTGCTGGGGCCTAGGCTTTTCCAGCCTCTTCATTTACAGATGGGGCCAGCGGCCTGGAAGCAGTAGGGTTTGGGGGAAGGGTGTAAAAGACAACTTATGAAATGTCTCACATGGCCCCTGTGTCACTTGGAGGCCCTCTACCAGGTCCCTTGTGGTTACTGGGCAGGAATGAGGACCTTCTAGGGGGTATCTGGTGGATCCGTGTTAGAGGCCAGACCAGAACTTGGTCCTCATTTGATTCTGGTCTAGAGTTCTTTTCATAAAGTCAGGTTGGCCTCTGCATAGTACTAAATCCACACTTTTTGAGTCCCCATCAGCACTTGTTTTTCTTAATCTTTCCTGTAACTTATATTCGTAATTCAAATTCAGTCTCCCCCAATCTAGTTAGTTATGATTTATGAAAGCTAAGTGAGGACTGTGTCTCATAGTTAATAGTCTACTCCTTGTGCATTGAGTTATTTCTGCCCCTTCGTTCCAGGACAGGATTCTGGGAAGGTTGTGATCTGGAATATGTCTCCAGTCCTCCAGGAGGATGACGAGAAGGATGAAAATATTCCCAAGATGCTTTGCCAGATGGACAATCACTTAGGTATTACAGAGTGGCCCTTTGCAGGCTTTTCGTGTTGGCAGAGTGCCCAAGGTTAGCACATGTGTTTGTAATTAGAAAGATAAGGCCCCGTGCGGCGGTAACTCCCCTCGGCCTGCTGTCTGAAGGCACAGATGTTGGCTGCACACCTGGGTGAGTTATTCGGCAGAAGACTCGGCCCGCCCACAGAACCATCTTTGGACAGTCTGCAGGTACCTCTGGTGATTTCCTGCTCATGAGTCGTTACTGCCTGATTCCATGGGGCTTTGGGGCCAGCAACCTGGAAGCAGTAGGGTTCTGGGAAGGGTGTGTAAAAGACAACTTACAAAATGTCTCAGATTGCCAATGTGTCACTCAGAGACCCTCTACCAGGACCCTTTTGGTTGCTGGACAGTATGTGGTTTTCTTTCCTGCATTAGTGCCTTAGTTTCCCGCCCCTGAGCATCAGGGTGACTGTACTTGGCTGCTTCCCCTGAAATGCTCCAATAACGGTTACATCCCCTGCCTTTGCTCTATTATGTTCTTGCTCTCCCAACATGTCTCTTGGCGTCCTCCAACTTGGAGCGCAAGTCACTCACAGCCTGGTGTGGGCCACAACTTGGATAGTGTCCCTCATATTGCTGGGCTCCCAAAGGTTGAGCTGTGAGTGCTCCCAGAGGCTGCAGCACAACAGGATCCAAGAGGGATTTCTGTTGGTCTCAGTTTATGAGTGCAGGATCAATCAACCTGCAGTGCTGATGAGTTTGGAAAAATCCGAATTTAATTGCTGACAGGTGGAAAGAAGTCAGAGTTTTATGTTTTACCCAAGCTGCTCCCTGAAAGCTCTGGAGAAGGCATCTTGGCCTATTTAGCACATGTCTTCCGGTCAAGAGTTATCCCTCTTCAGAAATACATCTCATCATTAGACAGCCCTTTTTAAATAATGAGATTTAGGTATTTACCAGTTTTCATGGCAGTGAGCCTCCTCCTACTGACTACTTCATCCAGCACTAACACTTCTCAGGTTATGTAGGCTTTCACCCCCCAGGCTCTATTCTGGTCATTTTTTGTTATAGCACAAGTAGATTAGTGCTTGAACTGAATTGTTTTTCTAGGGCTCTCACACAGTAGATGCCTTGAATAGATTAGATAGATTAGACTTTATAAACCTTTTGCATCTTGCCAAACTCTGCTTAAACAAATGACTATTGGATTTTCATCACCCTATTTTTTTTTCTTCCCAGCATGTGTGAACTGTGTGCGGTGGTCAAACAGTGGGATGTATTTAGCTTCTGGGGGAGATGACAAACTGATTATGGTGTGGAAGCGGGCTACGTAAGCATCATTTTCCTTTCTTCACATTTTATTTTTAGAAGCTTCTTTGCTGGTCTTTATCACAGTCACTTTCTTTACCCTGGCACTGACGTTCCCAGAGTCCCAGCTTCATAAGAAACAGGAAGTACACACAGGCCAGGAGCAGTTGGGGCCTGACCAGGGAGTCAGAAGGCCACCAACCTCCCTAGTGACCTGCTCAACTGTCCCTTGCCAGGCAACAAGGTTAAGGGCGAATCCCTTCCAATGCTGACATTGGTGGCTTCCTTTGTTTTGTTCTTCAAATGAGATTTCCCAACAAGCAATGTGGTTAAAAGTCAGGGTGATCTGAGGAGGGGTCCAGAGCCCACCCTCTTAGCCATTCACCTCATTTTCTGTCTGGCTCAACCCTGACCTCTAAGGAGTCCCCACTTGAAAGCCCTTTCTTTGCACCAATAGTGAGCTAACCATCACCTAGAAAACTCTTCTTCTTTACACCCAGGCAGCTTCTCTCAGGGGGGGTCCTGGGACTCTTCCATAACCAGCTCCCCAGGTGACTGGGGCCAGTCAAGCTGGGGACTCAGACCTATCCACTGCTCAGCCAGAGTGGCCCTATGGCCGTGGCTTTGAGAGCAGAGGCACACTGTCCCACCCAGCTGCCCCAGCAAGGTCTTTCTGTGAGTTTGTGAAGAATTCTACAGGAGCGAAGTCTGTCAACAGAGGCATGTCAGTGGTATAGGCACCACCTCCATGGGAGCCCACGTGACTGCTTGAGTGCCAGGAGCTAGAACCTATGATTCGAGTGCTTTCTCTGCCTCAGGTGCTAAGGCTGAGGCCTTCAATTCTTTATAAGAGGGCTTAAAAACTGTTGATTCTGCTACTTTAACCAACATAAATAATATTAAGTATATAATTTGGAAAACTAAAAAAATATAAAAGAAAAATATGATAATCCCACCACCTAAAGAAAGCTATGGTTGATATTTTGGTGTTATTTATGTGTGTCCTGATCCATTTCCATGCGTACATGTAATTTTTTCATTACATAGTGATATATTGTATATGCTGTCCTGTGACCTGCTTCTTTCACTTAATTTTATATTGTGAACATTTTCCCATGCAGTGGATAGTCTTTTACCACAAGCTTTGTAGATAATTGTGTAGTATTTCATCAAGTGCAAATAATTTACCAATCAGCTCCTGCTGTTCAACAATTCAGTGCTTTCCAGCCATTGTCTGTTTCTGCTTTGTTCTGTCTGCCATGATACGCCATGCTGCAGTGAGCATCTCTGTGCAGTGCCAGAGCCTCCCTGGAGTGCCTTTCTGATTCCTCTTTCACACAGGTACATCGGCCCCAGCACTGTCTTCGGCTCCAGTGGTAAGCTTGCCAACGTGGAGCAGTGGCGATGTGTCTCCATCCTCCGGAGTCACTCAGGCGGTGAGTGGGGCTGCCTGTTGGGTTGGGTGGCCCCAGCAGCTGTCTGAGACCAGCAGCAGTACCTTCAGCAGCTCTGTGTCTGGGTCACCCCTCCCCATCACCATCGGTCATACCCTGCCTGTCCCTCAAGGTCTGTGCAGTCATCGTCCCCACTGCCTGCCTCCAGCTGCATTCAGTGCCCCCACTCCTGCCCTCATGGGGTATATGTTTATATTTTTAATGTAGAACTCCCCACGTTCTGCTGTTTATCCTGGTGAACTGAGTCACTACCTTCATCAGTGGATCACTAAGTCCGTAAGCGCACTTTATTTATTCCACAGAAACTAGAATACAGGGGCCCTGAGCATGTTTGCAAAGTGTTGTAAATAGATTTAGAATGGAAAGACACATTGTGCCAATTTGAACTGGAGAGGAGGAAGGTCAGTCAGTCAATAGCAGTCTAAAACCATGTGGTGTACACTTGGTTAGGCACGAGGGATGCCAGAGCAAATATCACTTAGTCTTACCTCAGAAAGCCTGTGGTCTAGCCCAGGAATATCCTGGAGGGTTTCCCAGGCAGGGAGGACAGCAGAAGTGAGAGGTTTGCTGTGAAGGAGTAGGCAGCACTTCACTACTGCTGGATCTTTATATACAAGGCAGGAAGCAGCACGGAGTGGGGCTAGCTGAGTGCGCAGGGACCTTTTAATGAGGATGCCCTTTGTTGTGGAAGAGGCAGGGAGTCATTAAAAGCTTTGAAGCCAAGAGGGAAATCATTCTGACAGCTGTGGGGAAAGAAAGTTGTGTCAGTGGTTCGGATGAAAACTTTAAGGGCCTGACATAGGCCTATGATAATGGGAACAGAGAGGAAGAGACTATTTGGGAAATTCTTAGGATAGAGCAAGGGGAGTGATGAAGTAGAGTCCTAGCTGGGTGCATGAATAGCCAGTGGTTGTACTCTACTGAAATCATAAGAACAATAGGCTTAGGGGGATGGACACCAGTTCATTGTTGGGTAGGCTAAGTTTGAGGGAGCTGGGGAGAGAATGTCAAGAGACATTGAGCCTGGAGCTCTGGGGGAGCATGGGGCAGGAGTGGGAGGCTTGGAAAGCATCAGCTATAACCCGTTGGCAGTGTATGCTCGGCAAATACTCTGCACACACTTTGAAGGTGAACAAACCCACCTCTTGGTGACCAGATTGATTCTAAATTTGTGAAAGCTGATATTGTTATTGTTATTGTTGATAATAGTAAAAATCTGTAACTTACTCTTGCTGCTCACAGTGGAATCTAGATGGGTTTCTGGAACTTTGGCACATATGGCTATGAGGGTGTTCAAGCATGTGGTGGGGCCTCAGGCTTTTATGGGGCTCCTAACCTGAGACTCAGGCTGAGCCATAACCTTGACTTCTCTCCTGGCCCAGTACCCCAGGGTTCTCCTTTACCAGGCAGGTAGGATTGCCCACCTTCAACAGGGTACCTGCCACTTCTTAATCAGTGGTCCTGATAGTAGGTATGGGAAGAACCATTTAAGAAGAAAAAAATAGTGAAAAAGAAATAAATGAATAGAGAGCACTGGGTCTAAGTGTGAAAAACATACACTTGGCATATTTGACCATGGGTAAAAAAGAAGACCTAGGTGAAATTAGAAGTAAGAGGTCATGCCAAAACCGGTTTGGCTCAGTGGATAGAGCGTCGGTCTGCGGACTGAAAGGTCCCAGGTTCGGTTCCGGTCAGGGGCATGTACCTGGGTTGCAGGCATATCCCCAGTAGGAGATATGCAGGAGGCGGCTGATCGATGTTTCTCTCTCATCGATGTTTCTGGCTCTCTATCTCTCTCCCTTCCTCTCTGTAAAAAATCAATAAAATATATTTAAAAAAAAAAAAAAAAAAAAAAAAAAAAGAAGTAAGAGGTCTTAAAAAACATTTAACCTAGCCCCGGCTGGGTGACTCAATTAGTTGAAACATCAATCTCATACACCAAAAGGTTGCAGTTTTGATTCCTGGTCAGGGCACATGCCTACGTTGCGGGTTCGATCCCCGGTTGAGGTGTGTACAGGAGACAACTGATCAATGTTTCTCTCTCACATTGATGTCTCTCTCTCTCTCTCTCTCAAAAAAAAAAAAAAAAAAAGTTATAGAACATATCCTTCTTGGGTAAGGATTAAAAAAACAAAAAACAATTAACCTAGAGGAAGAATAGCATCAAAGAGTGCAAAATGTAATGTTAATATAGTATAAAATTTAAAAAACGAAACAAAATACTAAAATAGATATAATTTTCTAGAAAATAAATGTTTTCAAAATTAATATCATAAGGTTAGGAAAAACTGAACAAAGTAGTAACCAATGAAGAAGTTGGAAGCTACCTTCAGAAATGATTCCTAGTCCTAAATTATTTTTTGATGCATTGTTTTAAGCTTTTAAGAATAATGACTCTGAAACATAGAAATAGTTATTCTGGAAACTCTAACCCTGTTTCCAAATGTAATAAAAATAACAGTGAAACAAAAGCATAGACAAATATGAATGAAGATAGAAAAGTCAGAAGGGGAATACTCACAAGTTCATAACATTTGAAAACTAATTCATTTTGACTAAATATGTTTTATAATGGAAGGCTTGTATAAAGGAAATCTGTTAATATAATTCAGCATACTAGGAGGTTAAATGCGAAAAAGCACGGAGTCATCTGATGAGGTATTCTGAAAGACAGATAACTCAGCATCATTTCCTAATAAAAATGCTTTTTAAAAAATGGCCATAGAAAGTTATTTCCTTAACATGATAAAAATCATCTGTCTTTTTCTAACCAGTGGCAAGCATTACAGTTCACAATTGAGCCTTGTTCCCATTTATATTGAGAAAAGACAAGGATGGGTGCTATCATTTAATTTGTTACTTTGGAATTTCTGCAACACAATGAAGCAAATGAGAAGGAGATAAACATACTGGAAATAAGACAAAAATGAGCCGAAACCGGTTTGGCTCAGTGGCTAGAGCGTCGGCCTGCGGACTGAGAGGTCCCAGGTTCGATTCCGGTCAAGGGCATGTACCTGGGTTGCGGGCACATCCCCAGTAGGAGATGTGCAGGAGGCAGCTGATCGATGTTTCTCTCTCATCGATGTTTCTGGCTCTCTATCTCTCTCCCTTCCTCTCTGTAAAAAATCAATAAAATATATTTAAAAAAAAAAAAAGACAAAAATGAAACGATATGAGCATGGTATTGTATATCAAGAAAACCCAAAGGAAGAAAGCTCTTAGAACTCATAAAACCTTGAAAAACACTTGGAGCTAATAAAAATGAGTTATTGAATTGGCCTCATATAAGAAAACTTGTAATTATTTATCTTTCACTAGTAATAGCCTATTAGAATATCTATATATATAAAAGCCTAAGTGACCTGCCGACCATTTGGCCGTCCAACTGGTAGCTATGATGCACACTGACCAGCAGGGGGCAGATGCTCAACGCAGGAGCGGAAACCACAGGCATGGAAACATGGAACAGACTGATGAATCTCAGAGGGGAGGGGAGAAAGGGGAGGGCAGGAAGATATTAACCAAAGATCTTATATGCATACTAGAGGCCCTGTGCACAGATTCATGCACCAGTGGGGTCCCTTGGCCTGGCCTGCAGGGTTCAGGCTGAAACCAGCTCTCCTACATCCCCCGAAGGGTCCCGGATTGCAGACCTCAGCAGTGACTCAAAAGGGCATCTGAAAGAAATAATTAAAGTTGTGGAAGCTACACTGTCACAGAGTGAGTTTCTGGTTAAAACTAACAACATTGAAGTAGGCTACAGTGTACCTAATAGAAAGAGTTATTCCCCATTGGGATAGAGTAACCATTAGCAGTTCCTGGGTGAGGGGGAAGTAATTTAGAGCTCACTAAATACAGCATACACCAAAATAAACTTCAGATATTAAAGAGAAACATTCTAAATAACTAAAACAGAAGAAAAACAATTGAATATGTATCAAACCTCTAGCAGAAGGAATGTTTTTCAAGGTTAACAGGCAGTAAAGGATGTCTCAAAGAATAAGTTTGCTACGTGAGTCTTCTACAATATAGGAAGGCAAACTGATAGAATTTGCAGCTAATGCCTATAGTATCAGTAGTCCATGTAGCCCAGCTGGTGTGGCTCAGTGGTTGAGTGTCGACCTATGAATCAGGAGGTCATGGTTCGATTCCCGGTCAGGGCACATGCCTGAGTTGCAGGCTCAATCCCCAGTAGGGGGCATGCAGGAGACAGCCGATCAATGATTCTCGTTGATTTTTCTATCTCCCTCTCCCTCTCTGAAATCCCTAAAAATACATTTTTTAGAAATAGTCCATGGAAATTGCAAAGAAAATCACGTCTCCTTTCTGGATTCCCAGCTAACCACTTCTCTGCTCTAGGACTTAGGCACCACGGTGAAATTCTGGGGTTCACATGTCTGTCCTCCTGGACTCAGCTCCTAGAGGAGGTTCTCGGTCCTTGTATTTGTTAGACCACTGCACAGGAGAGCTCGTCAAAAACAGGAGCAGTGTTGCCTAAGGATAAGACAACTCTAGACAAACATGTGAAAAACCTTCAATTTCACTACTAGTCAAAGTAAAATTTAAAATATAACGAGTTAAAAGGGAAAAGATCATAATCCTCAAGTTATTAGGGGAGTCTTGAAATGGACCTTCTGCTTATAGAACTGTGAAGTCATAGAGGTCTTTGAAAAGCAGTCTGCAGAGTTAAGAGACTCCAGGCTTAGGAAAATGTTCAGTTTTCTTCCCAGATTCCCACTTTGGGGTAATGGGCTCAAACGATCCAGGATGTGGAGAGTGGCATACCCACATGCTCATTAATATGAAAAACTGGAACCCAGTCAAAGTTCATTGTTAAATTAGGTCTGTTTATGGTAGCGAATGCTCTCAACGACATAGAATGCAGAACAAATCAAAATAACCCCTGAAGATCACATACACTGTTAGAATGTTCCAACAGCATACCAGTGCATGCAGCGTGAAATGGGAATGTTAGTACAATGTGGAAAATTCATCCAGCTGTCACTGAAGATTTTTTAACTAGAAAAAAAAATACAATAGAAATTTTGAATATTTTGCTTACACCTCTTTTTAAAAATCCTATGAGGAAAGGACTCGAAAGCTAATAACTTGCTGCTGTGTTTCTCTTCATCTCACCAGCTATTCTTCTGTACGCCTAGCGCTGCATCAGGCAATGAGAGTAGATCAATCAGTAAGACCTTGCCCGTCACACCTGCATGTGAGATGGGCATCGTCACCATCACGTTGATTTTTATAGATGCTTTGGAGTGTGCCTGATGCCTTCCTACAGCAATTTCTCACATTTAATCCTCACAGCAACCCTCTAAGGATAGTTGCTTGCTTATTTATGTATGTATGTATGCATGTATTTCACATAGGTGCTATTTTAAATCCTCATTCTACAGATGTGAAAACTGAGTCACAAAGAAATGAGCATGATTGATTGTGTTTGGGGGCTCCATAGGGAAGGGGTATTCCTGTCAGGATCTTGGAGATGAGAGCTAATTAATGAGGAAAAGGGTCTGAAGGTGGCTTTTCTCTCATTCAGTCAGCAGCTATTAAGCTCTGACTGTGTGTCAAGCACTCTACTAAGTGTAGAACCTGCAATGCTCAAAGGGCTGTGTGAGATAGGCCCAGTTAGAATGGGGGAAGCAAGCTTAGCAGGGTTGAGGAGCGAACCCCAGGCCACAGGCCCGATAGGTATCAGAGCCGTGGTTTTAATACGTGGGTGCAGTGCCACAAGACGCCATGCTTTCAGCCGTGCCCCTAGTTGCCTCATGTATGAAAGGGGTAGCGAGGAATCAATTAGATCCTTCAAAATTTATGACCAATTGAAAATCATTAGTGGGGAAGTTTTTCAAAATGGTTACAAAAAGAATCTACTTATGATGGTCCTAGGTCAAGTCTCCTCAAACATGACACCAGCTGGCAAATGGGTGGTACTGCTTTGACCCCCTTGCCGAGTCTGCACTCCAGGTAAGAGACTCAACGCCAGCCCTCTGTCTTCCAGATGTGATGGACGTAGCATGGTCTCCTCATGACGCCTGGCTGGCTTCGTGCAGCGTGGATAACACTGTCGTCATCTGGAATGCAGTGAAGTTCCCAGGTCTGGGCTCCTCTGGCTGGGTGGCGGCAGGAATGGGTTGCTCATCATCTGTGCTGTCTGTTGGTGTCTGGAGCAGGATGGCTCTCTTTTGGCTGGTGGCAGCATGTGTCTCACAGTGGGCAGGGATTCATGTGTCTTGTCAGATATTCAGTTATTTTTCTTCATCAGTTATATTTGTTTAGAGGTTTATGTTAAAGAAAAATAGTAACTGAGTGCTAACATGGATGTGCCACAAATCATGAGGGTTGTACATTGACAACTGGCGTTGGGGACCGTGCTCAGCTTGCCCTGACACTCCCACCCATGCTGTGCCTTCATGTGCACCCCAGCATCTCCTCCACACATATGCCTTCAAGGGTATCAGTTCCACCACTGGGCTCTGGCCTCAGCTCAGTTGCCACCTCCTCTGTGACACCCTTGAGCAGATGCAGGCTAGCAAATCCAGTTTTGCAAAAGATTAATTTTTCATATTAATGTGTTTGAAGTCATGACAGATGGCATAACCTGCAGTTTATACCTAGTAAGATATTGCTTATGTTCCTGCTTCATATCTGGATATGGTTTCCTCATGGGCTGAAAAGCATCGTCCATGGACTTAATCCAAGTAATTTTCTCCCTATAAACCACCAGTATGTGTGGTGACACTCAACCTGGCCACCAAGTGGCAGATTTAGAGCTGGGGAGGATTTCTAGGAGGTACTGTCTCACACACTGTCCTCAGTGATGACTTACAGGGGACTCAGTGCAGTGCCCAGTCCCCTGTGCTGACAGGAAGGTTCACATCAGAAATGCCAATATGACGACCCAGGTGAGCATGGGCTTCTATCTAGAAAGGCAAACCACAGGCAATACCGCCAACTACAGACAAGATAAAGGGGCAGAATATGGCTCTGGCCCAAGCCGAGGCCCCTGATTGCCTGCCCCTCCAGGGGCATATGCAGCCCAACCCACAAGTGTTAGTTGTGAGTGAAGGGTGATCATGATGCCCGCCTCCTTGGTGCAGTCTTGAGGTGGGTTTTGCCTTCGTGGAAATTAGATTAGGGGCTCTTCTGCTTGTGCACAGGAGCAGGGCTGGCCAAGCTGCACTCCTGAAGTTCCTTCTCTTGGTTTGCCATTCCATAGCCCATGGATTGTAGTTCATGTTTCTATATAGAGTCATCGTTGTTCTCTAGGTAACACCTTTCCAATCTCTTATTTTTCTTCACAGAAATTCTAGCTACTCTGAGAGGTCATTCTGGCTTGGTAAAGGGGTTGACTTGGGACCCTGTTGGTAAATATATTGCCTCTCAAGCTGATGACCGCAGCCTAAAGGTGTGGAGGACGCTGGACTGGCAGTTGGAGACCAGCATCACCAAGCCTTTTGATGAGGTAATGAGACAGCCTAGAGAGCTCATGAGGCCCAGTACCCTTTCTGGCCTCCGTGCACAGAGGAGCTGGCTGGGGTGGGGGCTTTGTGGGTGAATCAGAATTCGGTGGCCTGAGCAGACTGGTCAAGGTTCTCGGAGAGGGTGGACACTTTGGCCCTAAGAGTCAGATGATGAAAATCTTTCATTTCTCAAATGAAAGATGTTATCAAATGTCCACCTTTGGAGTGAAAAGAATTTAAAAGTTTTAAATTTAAAGCTAAGGAGATACCCCACAACCTTGTGCCATACAGCTGGCTGCCGCAGACATGGATGGAACTATTTTTCATCATGTGACATTTATATTGCACTGCCCATGGGATGTATGGGAGGACAAGGGGATGGAGGTGGTTCTCTCTTGTATTTTTCCTGACTGCTGTGGCTTTGCTCACTGACTTCCACTGCAGGCCAGCTGACTTAACAGAGCTCATGGAGTGTAATTAAAAGGTGCTGAGCAGGAAAAAAGGGGTCAGTGGCCAGATAGATTTGGCCCATACAGAGTTGGTGGTTAAAAGAGTTGTCCATCCAAGTGGACTCTCAGAGGGAGGGCAGGGGAGGGTGGGTGGGTGGGAGGTAATCAAGCAAAGACCTTGTAAGCATATATGCGTAACCCATGGGCACAGACAATAGGGTGCTGAAGGCCTGGGATGGGGGGTTAGAGGCGGTCATTAGGGGAAAGGGGGGCATATGTAATACTTTCAACAATAAAGAATTACTAAATTTGCCCTAGCCGGTTTGGCTCAGTGGATGGAGCGTCGGCCTGCGGACTGAAAGGTCCCAGGTTCGATTCCGGCCAAGGGCATGTACCTTGGTTGTGGGCACATTCCCAGTGGGAGGTGTGCAGGAGGCAGCTGATCGATGTTCCTTTCTCATCGATGTTTCTAACTCTCTATCCCTCTCCCTTCCTCTCTGTGAAAAATCAATAAAATATATTTTAAAAAAAAAAAGAATTACTAAATTTTTTTTAGAAGAGAGTTGTCCGTCCTGCAGACCCCCTTAGGGCCTACCCCACTGTGCTGTGCTCAGCTCCTGTGGGAGTGGAGTATGCCATGGCTCCAACTCTCATCTGACAGTCTTTTTAGTTATGTCATCTGGAGAGGCTGGAGTTACAGCTGTCTGTGTAGCCAGAAGCTTGGGTACAGGCTCCACCATCAAACATTTATAAATCAGAGTTCAAATTTATTATTATTATTATTACTAGAGGCCCGACGCACGAAGATTCGTGCAAGAATGGGCCTGCCTTCCCCTGGCTGCTGGCACCGCCTTCGCTCTGACTGGAGCGCCTTTCCACCTTCCCATGCTGCCCAAAGGCCTGGAGCTGCTGGGGCAGTGTGGAATGCCTACATTGTCCTGCCCCACCCCCCGCCACTGGGCGCCTGAGTATGCAAATTAACCCGCCATCTTTTGTTGGGTTGATTTGCATACTCACTCCTGATTGGCTGGTGGTGTCATGAAGGTACAGTCAATTTGCATCTTTCTCTTTTATTAGTGTAGATTAGTTTTTGGTATCTTAGAATTTTTTTTTTGAAACTATGGTTCCCATTCTGGCTTCCTTGCTTCTTCGTAGTCCAATCTAGGTCAACAGGAGAAAATAAGACCATTGTTCCACATCTTACTTAAAAAGAGAACACCACCACCTGGTCACCTTTTGGGGTGGGGTCTGCCGGATGGGGGTAATGCAGCCAGGCGGGCAGGTGGGCGCGAATCGCCTGCAGCCTGGGCCTCACTTGTCCTGTAATCAATTCTCAAATTTATTCTTGAGTCCAGTTTTGGTCACAAGGTTGGCCTTGATTTCCTTTTAAGCACAGATGTTTCTTTCAGTGTGGAGGGACAACCCATGTGTTGCGGCTCAGCTGGTCACCTGATGGACATTACCTGGTGTCTGCCCATGCCATGAACAACTCCGGCCCCACCGCCCAAATCATCGAGCGGGAGGGCTGGAAGACCAACATGGACTTTGTCGGACACCGGAAAGCTGTGACTGTCGTGGTGAGTGTGCTCAGAGTGGTCCCCTCAGAGCCTGCGCAGTGCCTTGCTCACCAAGGCTGGGTCACCAAGGCCGAGATTCAGCACATGTCATGTTCTTGTTTCACTTTAAATACTTATGTTTCAGTGTTTAAAAATTCAATTTAAAAAATAGAATATGTACTCATGTGTTTATTGGCAAACTTTACATGATGAATATCACCAAAATCAGTCTTTGATTAGTAACACTAGCTCTGCACTAGCCTCTTTACACATTCGGGTCTGCTGGTGGGTGCTCCCGCATGGTCCTGACAAGTGCCCCACCCACCAGGCTCTGGAGGACACAGGTGCAGTTTGTGCATCCATCGAGCCTGTGCGTTTATCCCGGGGCTCCACCAGTGGCCACTGTAGCTTCAAGGCTGTGCTTTGGATCACTGGAGTCCTTGTCTGATTCTGGAGCTGTCTGCCCAGTTTTGATGTGGAGGGGGGAAGAGTGCCAGAAGATGTGAGCTACTGTTATTCTCTCAGGCTTCAGAGAATAACACTCTTTTTATGCTTTTGGATGACTTTCATTGAAGAGTGTCTTGAGAGTGCCCAAGGCAAACACTGTGAGGACCAGAATTTCCTCAACACTGGGTACCACAACTAAGTCAATAGATTGATGGGCGAAGGCTGATAGATGTGAAGGATTATCCACGCCCCTGATCTCAGTTTTTTTATTTATGAAAAAAGGGTTCCTTCTTCCCATTGTTTAACGTGATAATATATACCGTATAGTGTGACTTAAATTTATACAAATAAAATATCACTTCTTTAATATTTTTGTATTGGAGTCCATGAAAGATCTTGTTTGAAACTAGGACCATGTTGCTAAAATGTTTGAAAGTCACTGCTTCGTAGTTAGCATATTGCTTCCACATGACTCTCTCAAGTGAACCTCATGGAGCAACTGTGTGAGATGGTTGTGAAAATTCAAGCCCAGAATACATGCCTCTGGGTTCCATGTTCTCCAGTCTCTGTGCACCCCTGGCCATTCTTGCCTGCCCTCTGGAATTAGAACCCTTCTGGACCACCTGGCATACCCTTCCCTTTCAGTTTTCCTGGCTTAGTAGATTTCAACTCTGAGTCTAGAGCTCCCCATCCTTTTCAGTTCAGGAAAGCAGCAAGGACCTCAGTGTGTGCTTCTAACCTTTCCAAAAAATGATGCCCTGGTTACACTTAGCCTGACGAAGCCATCATCCCTGTTTGTGAGGTCAAAGCAGGGCTGATCAGTCTTTGTAAGACAGTATTGACTGAGCAAGAAATAAAGTGAAAGGAAAGGAACCCTGAACAGCCTCCCCTCAGGACCTTGTCCCTAAAGTTCATGTCCTAGAGTTGGTCCTGCCCAGGCCAAGGGATTCAGTAGCTCCCTTGCCATGGCCCTGACTGTAGGCCCAGCCTGGAGATTTGGTAGAGCTTGTTTCAAATCCTCCTCTCACCGCTTACTCATTGGGTGACTCAGCACATGTGTTTTGGCCTCTCTGAATCTCACTTCAACCTCAGCAAAATGCCTCCTGGGTAGTTGTAAAGATCAAATTACATATGCTGAGTGCCTGGGCCTGGAAGATGTCTGTGTGGACTGCCGATCGATGGACTGCAATTGTGGTATATTTGTAATACTTGGCATGGGGTACATGCTTGATGCTTGATCAATTATTTTAGCATTTGTTATTTGGCTTTAGAAATTCAACCCAAAAATCTTCAAAAAGAAGCAGAAGAATGGGAGTTCTGCGAAGCCCAGCAGCCCTGAGGTCAAAGCAGGGCTGATCAGTCTTTGTAAGACAGTATTGACTGAGCAAGAAATAAAGTGAAAGGAAAGGAACCCTGAACAGCCTCCCCTCAGGACCTTGTCCCTAAAGTTCATGTCCTAGAGTTGGTCCTGCCCAGGCCAAGGGATTCAGTAGCTCCCTTGCCATGGCCCTGACTGTAGGCCCAGCCTGGAGATTTGGTAGAGCTTGTTTCAAATCCTCCTCTCACCGCTTACTCATTGGGTGACTCAGCACATGTGTTTTGGCCTCTCTGAATCTCACTTCAACCTCAGCAAAATGCCTCCTGGGTAGTTGTAAAGATCAAATTACATATGCTGAGTGCCTGGGCCTGGAAGATGTCTGTGTGGACTGCCGATCGATGGACTGCAATTGTGGTATATTTGTAATACTTGGCATGGGGTACATGCTTGATGCTTGATCAATTATTTTAGCATTTGTTATTTGGCTTTAGAAATTCAACCCAAAAATCTTCAAAAAGAAGCAGAAGAATGGGAGTTCTGCGAAGCCCAGCTGCCCGTACTGCTGCTGTGCTGTTGGCAGCAAGGACCGTTCTCTCTCTGTCTGGGTGAGCCCCCCATCATGAGCTTTTGCTGCTCCTGAAAGGTGACAGGAGACAGGGCCGGTGAAGGTGTGGCAGCCTGCAAGAAGAGGGCCCCTGCTTCCACCCTGTACCTGGGTCAGGCCCACTTATTACCCCTAAAGGAAGCACTGAAGACTGGGGCTCAGCCCAGCCAGAGCAGCTCTTGTGTCCAGACTCAGGGAACACTTTAGTTGGCATGTTGTGTTTGCTTCATTTAAAAACCCTGTATCGACATGTAACCTAGATGAAGTACACAACTCAGAGCATTGTCATGACATGTTTACACATGTCACCACCACCCCAGAACCCTCTGCCAGAGCAACCATTCTAATGACACCTGTCACACTGATAAGTTTTGCCTGTTTTTAAGCTTTATTTGAACGGAGTTGTGCAGTGTTTACTTTTTCTTGTGTTGCGTTCGCTCGGCAGTGTTGTCGTGCATGCTGTTACATTAAACGGTAGTTTGTTCCTTACTAATGTCCCCAGAAGCAGAGGTTTGGAGGTTGTCCTCTGATGCATTTATTGTGGTCATTTGTCACAGAAATTGATTGCTGTGTACACTGTGATTTTTTCAGGCCCAGTACTCATGTTACATCCATTCCAGAACCTGACCCTAGTGCCATAGGCAGTTCCAGGCATGTTCTTCCTGGCCTGGGGCTCCATTCATGGTGCTTTGACCAAAACATCACTGCTCGTGTGCTCATGTTTCTTATAAAATTGAGGTCAGTTGCTCACACAGGTCCAGGTTTCTGAGGGGTCTGTAGACACATTTTTGGGATGAGGGGCAGGGCTCTTTTTTCTGGAAGTACAATTAGGGTAGGGGCAAGATTTTTCTTGTGGATTCCAAGTAGCTCAGATGCCAGCCCTCTCCTCAGGATTAGGATGGTCGAAGCTACTCCTTTTCCATAAAAACAGTCCCAGTCTCCTGGAAGCTTCCACAGTACTTGGTGGGAGCCCTGCAGAAAGGTGTTCCCACCCAGCCTACCACTCTGTGGCCCCAGGACCTGTCAACAGGTGGATCTCAGTGTAACTGTGGGAGCATGCAGACAGTGCAGGGCCCAACATTAGAATCACTAGATAATGAATATGCACGTGTGAATGTTCTGCAGTCATCTAAAACAGAAGTTTACAGGATATTTCATGAATGCTCAGTAGGTATTAAATGAAAAGGCAGGCACAACCATGTGCCTTATTTTGTAAACCAGAAGAAAATAACTCATCCAACAGTAATAGTGGTTAACTTTGGGTCTGGATTAGGGCAACATAAACTGTTTTTGTGTGTTTCTGAACTATCCGCACACAGTGTAGAATGAGCCTGTGTGACATACGTAGCCGTTTACACCAAGCCTTGTACAAATGTGTACCATAGTTCCTTGGGCCCAGAGAAGATATGCTGCGTTTTCTCTGGAACTATTTTCCTGCCTCATTTCTAGCATGCCTTCCCCTGCTTGGCAGACCTTCTCCGCTCAGGTCCTGGCCTTCTAGACACCCCTACTCCGTCATTGGTTGTCTGTGTATGAAGTCATCTCCCCGCACCAGAAAACAATGAGCCCTTCAGATAGCAAGCATTCTAGTTTGCATATTTCGGCAAACTTTGGTTTCTATAGTTTGGGATCTTGGTCGTTGCTGTTTGAAATTCTGACCAAGACTTCTAGGACTGATAATGTTAACTGAGCTGAGTGAACAAAAAATGGTTTTCATTCCTTTTATTAACCTTTGCTGCTGCTTTCTTTCCAGCTCACGTGTCTTAAACGACCTTTGGTTGTCATCCATGAGCTGTTTGACAAATCCATCATGGATATTTCCTGGTAAGGTGGATTCCTGTAATGATGTACATTAAGCTAGGAAAGGAGAAGCCACACATTGGAACACGAGCCCCCCGGATGTGATTAGCGTCAGGTAGCCAGGGACCCACCCCAGGTTTGACACTGGAGTAGACCCCAGGGTGCTGTTTGTACACGATTCAAGAAAGGGCAGCGTGGTCCTGCTTGTGGGAGAGTATACTGCTGTGCTCTTAGCTCTGTTGGGATTTGCCCTGGAAAATGCCTTCTCCAACAAATTGGTATTTAGGAAAAGGAGAATGCTGTGATCTTGGTTCTACTTCACTCTGTCCTTGCATGAACCAGATTAGCATAGGTGTGGAGACACAGTCTGCCTCTCAGTGACCTCATTTAGATTTATACTCCCCCACATGGTGTTTTTTTTAATGGTTTCAAAAATAAGATAAAGAAAAATAAAATTCTTACAAAGTACATGATGAAAGATACTTTGTGCATGTGCTTAGAACTAAAGGGTGCCAGAACCTTCTGGGACTCTATTGTCTGCCCTATCCACATCCCCATCCCCACAAGGCCACAAAAGGGAATCCGAGATTCTCACTGTCTACCTAGAGCTCTGCCCTATTGTCCTCTTGGCCAACATTGAGGCATGCGTGAGCACCACAGGGCTTGCTCCCAGGCTGCTAATGGTCATCTCTTTCAGGACTCTGAACGGGCTGGGCATCCTGGTGTGTTCCATGGATGGCTCTGTGGCATTCCTAGATTTCTCCCAGGATGAGCTTGGAGACCCCCTGAGCGAGGAGGAAAAGGTAGGAGAATAACATACTGCGGGCTAGTGACCTATGTGCTGCACATGCTCTGAGGCCACAGACATGACCATGATAGCTCGGAGAGGCCCCTTCAATTGGACCCTCGTCTTGTGACATACACAGATACATTGTTTCTTTTCTTTCTTTCTTTTTTTAATAATTCTTTATTGTTGAATACGTACTTTGTTTCTTAACATATTATTGGGTGTTCATCTTTTATAGGTTGTAATCCTTGTCTTCTTTAGAAAATAGATTAATTTAAAAATGAATCTCGGTTCATGTCAGAAATCAGTTCTGGAATGAAGAATAAAACAATTTTGGGCATCTCTTCCTGAACTGATAATTAGCCACACACTGGGAGGTTTCACCCTGGGAAAAAGCCAGAGAGAGAGAGAGAGAGCTCCCAAGGGTCCCCACTCACCTCACTTTCCCCATTGTCTTTTACTGACAAGGTTGCCATGGAGCAGCAACTAAATAGTAATATTGACCATTTTTTAGCACTTACTGCGTACCAGTCTCTGGACCATATGTTTGCATATATTTTATTTAAAATATATAACCCTTTAAGGCAGAACTTACTCGTTTCATCAATGAGGTAACTAAGCCACGGAAAATAGTATGGCTCTTTGCCAAGACCATACAGGACCTTTAGGTACAAGAACAGAAGCCTGGCCCTGACCGGTTTGGCTCAGTGGATAGAGCGTCGGCCTGCGGACTGAAGGGTCCCAGGTTCGATTCTGGTCAAGGGCATGTACCTTGGTTACGGGCACATCCCCAGTGGGGGGTGTGCAGGAGGCAGCTGGTCGACGTTTCTCTCTCATCGATATTTCTAACTCTCTATCCCTCTCCCTTCCTCTCTGTAAAAAATCAATAAAATATATTTAAGAAAAAAAAGAACAGAAGCCTGACCCAGGCCCACTGATTTGTGCCAGGCCTCCTCCCTGAGCTCTGTCCAGGACAGTGTGGCCATGGGCCCTTCCTCAAGGGTTTCAGGAACAGCTCTGCTCTCACTACCCTAGACTTAGAACCAGTGTTTCTACAAATGGCCTTTGTCTGAAAGGACCCCTGTGAAAGCTCAGAGTAGGTGAGCAGCTCTCCCCGCAGTGATTCAATTACTGTAGAAGCTTCCTCTTAAGCTACTGTGGGGACCCCCCCACCCCCACTGTGAGGTAAATCTTTTGGGGGTAAGAGTCTGAGTTGTTGACAGCACCTAGAATAGGGCCTGGCACCCTGGAAGTGTCTTGTCAATGAGAGGGTGAGTGTCTTGGCCTCAGGTCTTCTTTGCACCTTTCACAGTCCTCAGGTAACCTGGGATCCACTGTGCACTCCCCTCCCCCTTGGAGAGTCGCAATGGGAGCCATGTAATAACCTGTCTAGCTACCATTTCCCAGATGACAGGCAGGGACCCTGTGTATGAAGAACACTAGGGAAACATTGGTCAAACTCTGAATTCTGCCTCGAAATTCCAGGGGAGGGATTTAGGAGAAAGGGGACAGGAGCCAGAGTGGTAAGGGAGGGAGGTTCCTGGCCACATACAGGCACAGCATGCCCTGCAGGAGTGAGTCCCAAGATGCCACTTCCCCCACCCAGCATCTTCTGCTGTGAGGCAGATGTCCTACTGACCTCCACATTGGTCATTGCGCATCCTTATGTGAATCTGTTCTTTATCGCAGCAGTCACTCCAGTTTTCTGTGGACATTATCCTGCCCTTGTGGGGTCCCATCCGACTTGTTTTGGCATGCGACCAGTGAGACTTGGAAGATGGAGAGAGGGGCCCTCTCAGAAGGATCGAGACAGCAGGGACAGAGGATTTCCCTAGATCAGCTGTTCGAGGCCTCCCCTTGTTCTTAGAAACACTGTTAGCAGCCCCATGGCAACCTCCAACCACATGGGCTGATGGCTGTAGATAAGAGCAATGAAAGCAGACTCTGGTTTCAGTAACTGATTCCTAAAGAGTGTTTGGGGTCCTTGGGGTGATTTAAGAGCCTTAAGTTAGCAATTTGAGTGTCTTAACTTCAGTTCAACAAACATTTGCCATTTGTTCTGCATCAGACATGTAGTAGGTTTTTTCTAGTGGGTTACTCATTCACTTTTGTCCCCAGGTATAGATACATGGGAGACTATAAACATCTAGGAAAGATACAAGACTGCTCCAGAGTCATCTAATTGGCAACAGGCAGAATAGGATGGGAGGCAATGGAGAACTGGCATCTGGTGCTCTGGGACCCTTGCCCAGGGCCCTTTCTGCTCCCAGAGCCAGGAGAGCTAGCACAAGTTCACTTGGCTGCTCACAGCTGGTTTGTTGTACTTTGCTTTCTCTAGAGCCACATTCACCAATCCACCTATGGGAAAAGCTTGGCTATCATGACCGAGGCCCAGCTGTCTACAGCTGTCATCGAGAACCCTGAGATGCTCAAGTACCAGCGGAGGCAGCAACAGCAGCAGCTGGACCAGAAGAGTGCCGTGGCCAGAGAGACGGGCTCAGCTGCCTCAGTCGCTGGTGTCGTCAATGGGGAGAGTCTGGAAGACATCAGGAAGGTGAGGGTTTGGCTCGATGGCACTGAGAACACAGCAAGCACATGCCCAGGGAAGGACAAGGGGAACAGGCAGTCTGGACAGGGTACAGACATGAGTGGTGGGGAGGTGGGTGTATGCTTGGTCTGGTGTAGGACCCAGGAATGAGCCAGTTTGGGCCCCCTCAGCCCGTTACCCTCAATTGCATGAGGAAGTAGCGGTGCTTAATCCACCTTTATCACAGGCCTTTTTGCCGTAACCGGTTTGGCTCAGTGGATGGAGCGTTGGCCTGCAGACTGAAAGGCCCCGGGTTCGATACCGGTCAAGGGCATGTACCTTGGTTGCGGGCACATCCCCAGTAGGAGGTGTGCAGGAGGCAGCTGATCGATGTTTCTCTCTCATCGATGTTTCTAACTCTCTATCTCCCTTCCTCTCTGTAAAAAATTAATAAAATATATATTTTTTTAAAAAAGGCCTTTTTGCCCTGAAGGGGTCATTTCTTATAGGAATTTGGCCTTTCTAGGGAATTCTGTATATACTATATATACTGCTAGTCCTTGAATAGCATCATTTTGTCATTACAACCTTGATGAGAAAATTAAAAATTGAGTCTTGTGTGGAGTTTGCACGTTCTCCCCCTGTGTCCTCCCACATCCCAAAGATGTGCATGATAGGTTTACTGCCCAAGGTATGCCCGAGCTGCCGAGATAGGCTCCAGCCACCCGTGACTGAATAGTGGGTGGGAAAATAATCACCGTACTTGTTTTTATTAATCTTCCTTCAATGTATATATAACTCACATATATTTCAGCATTGAATATTGAAAGTATTTTGGGTCTTTACTTAGAAGTTTGATGGTGTTTTTGTGACCAGAAATATGTCATAGGAACTTAATTCTTGTTTATATCAATTAGCCTCTGGTAAAATTGGTTCCCTTATATGTTGTTCCATGTTAAGTCATAGTTTCCAAGCACCTGTCGATGACGTTAAGTGAGGATTTACTGTGCTGAGAACATTAGTTTCAGTCTCTGCCCTTAAGAACATCTGTGGGCTCCTCTTTCTTCTCCCTGAGGGGTGGAAGGTAGAGATGGGGCAGGAAGGTTAGAATTTCTTAGGGTGCTTAAACCATCTTTAGGAGTTTGTGAAGGGTGATGAACCTCCACAGGTGATTCAGACATTGTGTGATCCTTGGTTATGAGCTTTAGTGGAAGAAAGTTTGCCAACCACAGCATAGAGACAAAAGTGTGGCTCATGGGTGCAGGTCTCATGTGTTAGTTCTCTTGTTGACCCCCAATGGCCACTTACTGTCCCATGGAACCGGGCCAGGCCTGCGTACTGGTGATGAAGAGGAAGGGGCTGAGCTGGTTCAGCTGGGAGCTTTCTGTCCTTTCTTGCCGGAAGTGGAGCATGTACCCTGATAAAAACATTTGTTCTTTGATTGAGTGGTTTAGTTTAGTTGGACCAGAAGACTACAGAAAGGCAATTTAGAATACATTTCCTTAGAAACCTTATTTTTTGGTAATTGGAGATGGTTCACATAAACGTTTCCATTCATTTATATCATTCTACTTTGCCAGAATCTTTTGAAGAAACAAGTTGAGACTCGGACAGCAGACGGTCGGAGAAGAATCACACCTCTCTGCATAGCACAGCTGGACACCGGGTACTCGTTCATTCACCGAGCTTTCTGTGGCCTTGTCTGGGAGCTCTTCCTCTCGCCTTTCACCACTTAGCACTTTCATAATTAGGATCTTCACAGGCTCTTGGGCAGATCTGACCCATAGAATCTGGAAGTGAGTGAGTTGGGCCCAACTTCCCACCAACCTCAAAGTCCAGTGCTCTTCACAGAGCCCTTATGCAAACTTATGCTGAAGGTGGACTGGGAAGGGCCTGTGACAGGCCAGCAGCCAAGGGCACCTTCACAGGGTCAGCGTGTCTACGCAGCCAACCCTGCTTCATCTTGCCAGGGCATGACAAAACTTGAGGTAGAGAAGTTGGACTGATTTTTTTTTCCGTTTCTTTTTTCCCTTGTATAGTCTTCTTTTTTAAATTTTATTGTGAACGTAATACATATATTTATTATTGAAAATAGTAAAGGCCCAAAGAAGGACATAAACTTTATCCTTAATGCAGTCTCTCGGATATAATCAATGTTAATATTTTGGTATCTGTATCTCCAGTCTTTTCTCGACTTGTTCCTATATCGTGACCTTGCATCCATTTTAATAAATAGTCCTCTGAAGCATTGCCTTGCTGATTGTCCAGGTTCCCAGCCTGTGAATGCACCATGATTTACTTAACCAGCCCCACAGAGGGGCGAGGAAAGTGGACTCAGTCACCATTTGCTGTGTCTTAGCATCTGTTGTCAGGCTTGCTTTTATAAGGGCCATTCTTCCCAAAATGATGGATGTTGATTCAAAGAATGATAAAGCCCAGTATGAAAGAAATAGATCCCCCCCCCATAAAGGTGATTCACTCTGGGTTATACTCATGCAGTCAGCCTACTCTGGGCAACCACACACTGTAGTCCTCTGCACCTTGCAACTGCTCATCCGTGAGCCTGCTCCAAATCTTCTTACAAGTCTAAAGAGACGTTTAGTCATACGATGTGCTTATTGACCTCTGAGGCCCTGGAGGACAGAGACTTGACCCAGTGGAGCCTGTACCAGTTTCCTGGCTCCTCCCAGAGGGTGGTTTTCCTTTGATCAAGCCTTTTCCCCATGCCACCGGCTGCCTACCTTTTATTAGGACCAAGTCAGACCAAGTATATGACACTGCAAGACTGTGGGAGTGAGGGTCGTGGAAGTGGTGGAGGTGGTGGTGGTGGCATTTTTGTTTTGTAGATCCCTCCAGGCCTCACCTTGTGAGGGGGCAGAGGGAGTAGATGGCTTCCTGCCTGGCCTTGAGCCAGCTTTCTGCTAGAGGGCTCATTTTCTGGCACCAGAATCTGATTCTCTTGGTCTCCAAGGCTTCTTTCCCTCCTCATACCCATATTAAAACAAGTAGTAACAGAATAGCTAATTATCAGCTTAGCTAATCAAGAAAGAAAAAAAGCACAAATGTGTAAAGTAGAAATAAGTGGGAAATAATTACAAATAAAGAATAAATTAAAAGGATGAAAACTTTGCTGAACTCTATGCAAATAAATTTGAAAATGGATGACTTTTGAGGAAAATAAAATTAGCAAACTGAAGAAAATCTGTACAGATGAATTATTATAGAAGAAATAGAGGACACTATCAAAGAGTTAATCTGCCAAAAGCCACCAGACTAAGAAGGGAAATTCTAACACTTTGAAGGAACAGATCATTCTAATACTATTGAAAACATTCTAGTGCATAGAAAAGGAAGGAAAGCTTACAAAATCTTTATCTTTGAAGTGAACACAATATTTACATCAAAACCTACAGATAGAACATAATAAATTATTGATCAATCCCATTTCTGAATGTCAATGCAGAATCCTAAATAAATAGTAACAAACAGAACCTTAAAATGTGTTAAAATGTTAATGCCCTATGACCAAGTGAAGTTTCTTTTGGGAAAGCAAAGTAGTTCAAATTTTGGAAAACTTAATTTACTTCTACATTTTAATATATCCCAAAAATGATATCATTTCTAGAGATGCTTAAAAGGCTTTTTTATTTAATTCAACATCATTCTTATTTAAAACTCATTTAAACAGGAATAGATGGATGCTTGATAAACTGTCTTATTCAAATTAAATTAAAGAACTAAAATGTCTACTCTTGTGGCTATAATTTAACATCATTCTAGAGATCCTTGCTCGGTCAAGAGAAACAATAAATTGGATAGGAAATGGTAAATGTATTATTATCTAAAGCTGATTTGATCTCTATGAGAGAATCAACTGGGAAAACTGCCATAGACAATAAAAGAAGAAAATAAGGCGACTGTACACAACCTACATGATGAGATCAAGTACCACCAACTACTTTTAGAAGATAAGAAGAAATCACTTTCACAAATGCAATACCTCAATGTAAGAAGAAATGTAGATATTTATGAGAAAAAAATTTAAACCCTACTGAGAGACCTAAAAAGAAATTCAAAGAAATTACACAAAATGCATACCATGTATTAGCTAGGATGACAACATCATAAAGATGACAGATTTCTCTCAGTCTGTAAATATAAAATGAGTCAATACAAATAACCACAGGAGCTTTCTGAATAAGACAATCTGATTCTGAATTTAAGTGGAAAAAGAAATAGGAATAGCTGAAATATTTTTGAAAAAATCAGGGAAGACTAGCCCTACCAGAAATTAAAGCAGTGAAGTACTAAAGTACTGACCCATGAAAACAAACAACATTGGGCCCTGCCCAGTATTCCCAATGGTTAGAGCATTAGCCTGAGGAACGAAGTATCTCAAGTTTGATTCCTGGTCAAAGGCATGTACCTGGGTTGGAGGTTCAAGCCCTGGCCCAAGTTGGGGTGCATGCATGTGGGAGGCAACCAATCAATGTCTCTCTCTCTCTCTCTCTCTCTCTCTCTACCTCTCCCCTCCCCCCTTCTACTCCTCCCTTCCTCCCACCCTCTCTTAAAATCAATGGATCCTGGCCAGTGTGGTTCAGTGACTGAGCATTGACTTATGAACCAGGAGGCCATGGTTCAATTCCTGGTCAGGACACATGCCCGGGTTGTGAGCTCAACCCCTAGTGTGGGGCATGCAGGAGGCAGCCAATCAATGATTCTCTCTCATCATTGATGTTTCTATCTCTCCTTCCTTCCTCTCTAAAATCAATTTTTTTAAAATCAATGGAAAAAATATCCTCAGATGAGGATTAACAAAAAAAAAAAAAAAAAAAAAAAAAGATAGAACAGCCCTGGCCAGTTTCACTCAGTGGTTAGAGTGTTGATTCACACATCGAAGGGTTGCAAGTTCAGATCTGGTCAAGGGCATGTACCTGGCTTGTGGGTTCGCTCCCTGTCACCGGTCTAGGCACATGTGAGAGGCAACTAGTCGATCTTGATATCTCTCTCTCTCTCTCTCTCTCTCTCTCTCTCTCTCTCTCTCTCTCTTTCTCTCTCTCCCCCCTCCCCCTTCCACTCTCTGAAAAGCAATGGAAAAAATATCCTCAAGTGAGGGGGGGTGGAAAATAGAACATTGGTATGCAATAGAAAACCCACATATCGGCTCAGGTATTTATGAAAATTTTATAAAGATAATATTTTGCATCCATGGTGAATCAGTATCTTCAATAAATGGGAGTCAGGACTATTTGATACTCTAAAAACGGAATTGGAGCCCTGCCTCACTTAAAATTCTGAACAGCTGAGAGATTTTTTTTAATGTTTAACTTTTTTGTTTAAAATTTTAGAAGAGTCCATAGAAGAATATTTTCATAATCTCTGAGGTAAAAAAGTATTTTCTATAAATGACAAAATTTATACCACACAAAAATAACATTTTTTTGGCAAAGAAAATTACACAATAAAGAATCAAAACATTATATTCTGGGGGGAAATATTTTCTGCTCATATAAGGAATGTTTTATATGTTTATAGCCTTAAAAATCAATAATAAAGACCAATAACCAAGTGGAACAATAGATGAATATGAACACACATTTCACACAAAAAGAAATCAGGTGTTTCTATATGAAAAAATTTCAATATTATAAAATAATTGCATCAAAATAATTGCAAATTAAAACTATAGTAAAATACTATTTTTCATCTATCTGCTATCAAGAAATTTGATAAGCCCTAGCCAGTTTGGCTCAATGGATAGAGTGTCAGCCTGTGGACTGAAGGGTCCCAGGTTCAATTCCAGTCAAGGGCACATGTCTGGGTTGTGGGCTCGATCCCAGTAGGGGGTGTGCAGGAGGCAGCCGATCAATGATTCTCTCTCATCATCATTGATGTTTCTATCTCTCTCTCCCTCTCCCTTCCTCTCTGAAATCAATAAAAATATATTTTAAAAAAAGAAATTTGATAAAATTGTCAGTGAGGGTGTGGGGTTATAGACACTTATAGACAGGTTGTAATTTAAACCTCTGAGGAGGGCACTTTAGAGCTATTTGCCAAAAATCAGTAATGAACATTTCATTGGCTGCTGGAATTCCACCTCTAGGAGTTTATCTCATGTGAAAAGTGAAACAGCAGGTGTGGTGACCGTTACACCAGTGGACATCTTTGAGCAGCGACTATGTGTTCTAAGTGTTTGCTACACTAACAACTTCAGTCCTGACAGCAACCCCATGGGGAAGGTCCTGTCACTTTCTGTTTTGCAGATAGGAACCTGAAGCACAGAGTGGTTGAAGCACCCAAGGTCCCAGAGCTGGTGCATGGCAGAGGAGTGAAACCTGGCTGGTTTGGCCCAGGGCCCTCAGTCTTAACACTGCAGTATCTTGCCTCCTGTTGCCGCAGTGTCTATTACTGAACAGGCTGGGAGACAGCCCAGCCCAGTTGTTCCTCAGTAAAGACTGGTTAGGTAAATTATGGTACATGCATATAGCCCATAAGAAAAGGGAGGTCCACTCTGTATGCTGTCTTTCATTAGTTCTCAGACACATGTTTTTACATTTTAACACCTCTAAGACCAGGATGCATCTGACAATTATATTTGGTAACAGTTTTTTCTTAGTGGTACATAAAGTATCAGTTCAACTTAGAGTCAGTTAAACAGAGTGTATGGAATGATTTTAGTTTTGTAATTTTGCAAATTTTCTTCTTTGAAAATAAATTATCTTTGGATCCAGAAAAAAAGTTACTTAGAATTGTATAAAGTACTTGATGTGGTATCTGATTTCTGAGGCTGACTTTGTTCTTTCTGACCACAGGGACTTCTCCACGGCGTTCTTTAACAGCATCCCACTCTCAGGCTCCCTGGCAGGCAGCATGCTATCCTCTCACAGTAGTCCACAGCTGCTGCCACTGGACGCCAGTACCCCCAACTCCTTCGGCACCTCAAAGCCTTCCACGGAACCTGCGGCAGTAGCCGGCACCAGGCCTGCGGGCAATTCTGTCAATAAGGACAGGTGAGTGGGCACCAAGGCTTCCTCCTGTCCCTGGGGAAAGTTTGGGTTTGGACACAGTTCCAGGGACACTTCATGGCCCCTTCAATAAAAAGAAAGAAAAGAGATGCTGGATTTCAGATGAGGGCCTGTTCGGAAGGGAGGCCTTCATTCAGCTGAGTCTGATGCACAGGGCTGTGAGGACTCCACATCCTGGGGGAAGAGCAGTCCCAGGATTCGGCTCCTAAGGGTGGGAACCAGCCAGGGGCACATCACCTGCCAGAGGATCAACTCACCTTCTGGCAGGTCTGCACTGGAGGTGGCTTAGCCTCCACTGCATTGTTGGTAGCATCGCCACACCAGTCATCTCAGGCAGAGCGCTAGTGCTGGGGCAGGGTCATCTTTCACTCTCAGAATTACGTTTGCTCCAGGAGCCTTTGTCTTCACCAGCCATTACCTGGAAACCAAGTTAGAAGTCAGTAAGAACCAGAGGAGCATGAATAAGAGCCAGGAGCCATTCACTCAGTGAACATTTACCCAGTACCTGCCCTCGGTTACACACTGCGAGTGCCCAGGCATCCACATGGGGTTGATTGGTGGGTCCTTGTCCCTAGAGAGAGTGTCAGCTGGTGGAGAAAGGGGCAAACACAGAGGCATAGGGGTGGCTCCTCGGGTCTCCTGTGTGGAAATGGCTAGCCATCCAAAGCGGGGGAGGGCTTGTTGGGCAGGTCTCGGGAAGGGTTATTGGAGGATGCCCTACCCAGGGCCCGTATAGGCCACCCCGGGAAGGGTTAGGGGACAGCAGCAAGAGCAGAACCCCAAGTCCCTGAGGAGTGTCAGTAAAGGGGGGAAAGCTGGGCTTCGCTGCTGAATCACATACCCTGGGCTTCTCCTTAGAATGGAGACACAGAAGGCTCTGGTCTTGCACCTTAGACAGATCACTCCAGGAGGCACTGGTGCCCAAATACAGCTGCCACCCAGCACACGAAACTATTACTGTCAGAGTGATTCTCCATCGGTGGGGACAGGGTCTTGTGTGGGCTCGATCCCAGTAGGGGGCGTGGGCTCGAGGTTGATTGGTTTCAACCTCCACAAACACAGATACCCATGGCTTTTTCCATATGTTTGGTTACAGCCTCCTCCTTCCTGAGCTCTGATGTCATGGTCATGGAGGCATCACCAAGTATCAAGTGTCCCGTGGCTGAGGGAAGTGTGAGGGTAGATGGGAACAGCTTGACCAGTTAGAAAGCCCCAGATTTGCAAAATGTTTCAATAGTTGGTCCTAGAGTTCCCTGGAGAGGAGAGGCTATCTAGGATACCTGCCAGGCATCTGGTGTCGGGTCCAGTCCGGTGGATTTGGTCATTGGGAGGCCCAGTGGTTTGGGGACCCAGTGTGAGGGATGCAGATGACCACAGGGTAGCTGGCAGGCTCATGCTCGGGCTCTCCTTTCTCGGAGGAGAAGGCAAAGGCTGTGGGATGGACACTGGGAGGAGAGTGTGAAGAATGTGAAATTGTTACATTGAGGGGCCACCGGGGCAGGAGGTTGAAGGCCAGGAATAGACAGTGGCTTCAGGACCCCAAATGGGGCTTTTCTCCTAGGACCCATTGTCAAAGTGGGAAAAGCTGGTGGTTGGAGTGGTATGGGTGGCTGAATTCAAGTTGTGGAGATGGGGCCGTATGGTGAGCGGAAAAGGGTTGCAAGAGCCACTTTCTAGGCCTCATGCTAACCCCCGAAGCTCTCAGAACAATGCAGTGGGGCAAATGTGAGTGCATTCTCCGATAGCCAAACTTGGGGAATTTTTTTTATAAATGTTTACTTTTTTCATATTTACCATTTTTATTTATTGATTTGGTTTAGAGAGATAGAAACATTGATTTGTTGTTCCACTTTTTTATGCATTCATTGGTTGCTTATAGTGTGTGCCCTGACCGGGGATCGAACCCACAACCTTGGTGCATTGGGACACGCTCTAGCTACCTGGCCATGGCAAACTTCCAGAATTTTAACATGTGAAAATATTTTTAAAATAGGAGTAGTACATCGTACCTCGAAATTTTTGTGTTTTTAGAAGTTTTATATTTGTGCCCTTTTCACTTGGCTCCAGGTAATGTAAATCCCAGACTCCCAAATCCCTGACGAATTGTGCTTGACATGATTTCCCATCTTCTTCCCCACCCCAGCGTGAACGCTACCTCGGCTCCTGCTGCATCATCCCCCTCTGTGTTAACAACCCCATCCAAGATTGAACCCATGAAAGCGTTTGACTCCCGGTTCACGGAGCGGTCCAAAGCCACGCCTGGTGCTCCTGTCCTGACAAGTGTGACACCGACGGCCGTAGAAAGGTAGGTGGTGGCTGTGGGGCTCAGAGTGACCAGGTGAGTGCAGCCTCAGGCCAGCAGTGCAGCGTCCTCTCTCCTACCAAGCAGCTTGCCCTCCCTGGGGGAGCAGGCGTCAGTCTCTCTGTACTCGGGAGCCCCTGTTTCAAGGAGAAAGGAGTGGCTGCTTCAAGTGGGAAGGTTGCTGGAAGGAGCGTGGGGTGAACAGAGCAGCTCTGCACAAGGACATGAGGGCAACAGCGTGGCAGCTGGGCAGTGGGAGATGTGCTGAGAATAACTGTGTGTGAATGGAGCCCAGTTTGTGTGAATGTTCGAACTGAAACCAGAAGTCCTCACCTACTTTTTTAATGCTGCAGTTTGGGGGGATTTTATTGATAATTATAAGTTAATAATCATATGGAAGCCGAAACCGGTTTGGCTCAGTGGATAGAGCGTCAGCCTGCGGACTGAAAGGTCCCAGGTTCGATTCCGGTCAAGGGCACGTACCTGGGTTGCGGGCACATCCCCGGTGGGGGATGTGCAGGAGGCGGCTGGTCGATGTTTCTCTCTCATCGATGTTTCTGACTCTCTATCTCTCTCCCTTCCTCTCTGTAAAAAATCAATAAAATATATTTAAAAAAAAAAAATCATATGGAAAAAGCCATGGGTATCTGTGTTTGTGCAGGTTGAAAGAGCAGAACCTTGTGAAAGAGTTGAGGCCCCGGGACCTCCTGGAGAGCAGCAGTGACAGCGATGAGAAGGTTCCTGTGGCCAAGTCCTCCTCCCTCTCCAAGCGAAAACTGGAGCTTGAGGTGGAAACAGTGGAGAAAAAGAAGAAAGGGCGACCTCGGAAGGACTCACGGCTCATGCCCATGTCTCTGTCTGTCCAGGTGAGGCCAGCAGGTCTGTGCTAGCTTCCCTAGCCCACTTGTTGGGTTCAGTGCTGGAGCTTGCTTGTGCCCAAGTGGGAGAAGGGAGGCCCTGCACAACACAGTGTGCCTTATCAGTGTGGGAACAGCTGGTTAGACATGCACTCCCCTGGATTAGCATGGAGGCACACTCCCCCTCAGACCTGCTCTTGACCTACCCAGAGTCCTTGAGCAGCTCCGTGGCATTGCCTACCTCATCTGTCAAGTGGGATCACTGGAGCAGTCATCTGTACTGTCCTCCCAGAGTGGGTGGAAATCCCTGGGGAACTGGCCCAGCCTTATCTCTGGGTGACTCGCCTGTACCTGACACTGCCCGACAGTGCTGGGAGGGGCTCAGGGACATTTCTGCTCTTGCAGTCCCCAGCTGCTCTGACCGCAGAAAAGGACACTGTGTGTTTGTCTGTACCAGCGCCTACACTGAAGCTGCCCATGCCGGGCCCCCAGAAAGCATTCACCCTCCAGGTGAGCCGGCCGCCTGCCTCTCCCTCACAAGCGTGTTCTCTCTCTCTCTCTCCCCAGCCCCACTCCTTCCCCAACCCCCTGTGTAAACCCTGAATTGTCAGAAACAGGGCTGTTGCCCAGTGGTTCTCCATCATACTCTGAGGGAAATTGTAGTTGATCATGGCAACCACCAGTCTTATTAGCAAGAGTACTAGTCTGTTCTCCAGGAGCCCCTTCAGCCCCTGCCCCCACCACCACCACGCTTCTTTCTCTGTGGCTTTGCCCTCAAAGTCCCTGCCGTCATCTTCTGAATGGCCAGCTCCTTCCAGAATTGTCTCAGGAGTCCCTTCCGGAAGCCTCCTTCGTTCCACACTTGGTCCCAAGCAGCCTCAGACTCAGTGCCCATCGGACTGTGTGGTAGTGGTCTCCCTCCCAACCAGCCCACTGGCCCTATTCATTTTACTGGGCCCAGCACAGGGTTTGCATCAGGGCTCTTTTAACCATGTGCTTGTTCAAAACACAGTTTTTTAAATATTATTGTAGAGTAAATAATCCTTTATATGCAGAGGCCCTGTAGTCACTAGTCTAGCACCCATGCCAGACCTTTGCACACCCAGTCACTTCATGCCCTTTGTTCCTCAGGTGCATATCAATAGGAAACCCTTTCAGACTCCATATGCAGGTCATTTCTCACAGGCTGCACGCAGCCCCAACCCAGACTGGTCCTCATGGGGTGTCGGCCCTTTCCTGCCACAGGTCCTTCTGAGCCTAAGAATAGGGACCCACATGCTTTGTTCTTGTTGCTGATGTGAGCAGAGGCAAGGAGCACAACCCCCTCTCCCAAACTCCTCCAGCTTCCCCTGGGGGTTTCACCACTGAGTGCTGCTTGGAGCCCTTCTTGGTTTCTATATGGCCCTCTGCCCCAGGTAACCCATTTATGTGGCTACACAAGTGCAAACTGTTCAGCCATTCTGCCTGGTTTTTCATACGGATTGTCAGTCATCTCCCCATACACAAAAGACAAAGTTGAGCCCATTGTGGAGCCTGGCACTGAACTAAGCGCTTCCATGCATATGCATGCGCTTCTAGGGACACTCCCGTGAGGTTGGAGTAGCGACTCTGGGTGACTCGCCTGTACCTGACACTGCCCGACAGTGCTGGGAGGGGCTCAGGGACATTTCTGCTCTGAGGTAAAGGCAGGAGCTGAGCTCAGAAAAACCAGGAGGTCCAGCAGGGTAGGCTGGACACTGTAATTATAAATATCAACTGGCCCTCAAAGTCCCTGCCGCCATCTTCTGAATGGCCAGCTCCTTCCAGAATTGTCTCAGGAGTCCCTTCCGGAAGCCTCCTTCATTCCACACTTGGTCCCAAGCAGCCTCAGACTCAGTGCCCATATCATTGGGCACCATGGTAGCCTCCTGCCCACACAGTACCCACTGCCTCATGATGTGTTTCTGTACATATCAGTGCCCATCGGACTGTGTGGTAGTGGTCTCCCTCCCAACCAGCTGTTCAGACTCCATATGCTGGTCATTTCTCACAGGCTGCACACGGCCCCAACCCAGACTGGTCCTCATGGGGTGTCGGCCCTTTCCTGCCACTGTTCCTGCAGTGAAGAGGAACCTATACAGCCCTATCCTGCCCCACATCTCCCACACTGCCCAGCTGCCATGCTGTTGCCCTCATGTCCTTGTGCAGGGTGTGCAAAGGTCTGGCATGGGTGCTAGCCCAGAATGGGTGTCTCTGGTCTGTTTCAGATGAGCAGACAGAGGCTCACTACGCAAGGAACTAGAGAGGACTTCGGGTTTTCTAGACTTTTCCTCGGTTATTACCAAGCACTGTGATCTCTGAAAACATTCAACTAGGAGCCACATCTCCCCACCAGCTGTGTCCAGCTGGCTGTGGGCCTCGCTTGCAGTGTGCTCTTAGACAAGCCACATGCCTTCTCTGCATGTTCCCTGTGAAAGGAGATGGTAGGGTTAGGAAGCTCTGGAGTCTCTAGCTCGAACACCAGTTCTCTGCTCTGCTACACGGAAAGAACATTGTGTTTACTTTCCGCCATTCAGGTGAGCTCCGACCCCTCCATGTACATTGAGGTGGAGAATGAAGTGACAGCCGTTGGGGGAGTGAAGCTGAGCCGCTTGAAGTGTAACCGGGAAGGGAAGGAGTGGGAGACGGTACTCACTAGCCGGATCCTCACTGCTGCCGGTAGCTGGTAAGGGTGAGGGTCTTCACCTGGCCCAGCATTTCATGTAAAGCAAGCACCACATGTGTGTTGTGTGGTGCTGATGCACTGCCCCCCAAGTGCTAGCTCCCACGGAGACTGCAGGTCTTGTCTAGGCTGTGTGTGTGCAGCTATCATCTCGGTCCCTGCAACACCCAGTGAAGTTGGCGTCATTACCTCCATGGTACAGCTGGGAAAACTGAGTCCTAGAGGCTCACCCATGCCAGGATTTTCACCCAGGTGTTGTGATTCCCTTGTCTGGCCAGAATCCTGAAGTCTCAGGTCCCAGGCTGAGCTCTGCCTGGCTCTGACTTGGGCTGGTTCTTTCTCTGGATCCCAAATTTTAATCCAAGGAAGTCAAGATAGATTTCTGACTGTCCCCCCTGAGTTCCCAGCCCAGCCCCTTTCAGATTCTGCACTTTGAGGGGAGACCTTAATTCAGTGTTAGTCACGCAAGGTCTCACAATGGACTTCTGGGCCTCTATCCTTTGAAGCTGTCCCTGTATTCACCCCCACCCTAGCCAGAAAGGCTTTCTGAGCGCACAGCTGGCGTCCCTTATGGAGACACTTTGTCATTCCCACACTTCTGGCCTTTCTCGGCAGAGACCTTCTCAGGACTAGTCCAGCTAGCTGTAGCCAGTAGACTGTTGAGTGGACGCTGTGTGGCCTCATATGACAAGGGAGGTGTGTTTTCTGGGTTACCATCAGTGGTCCTCTGAAGCACCCCCCGTCACAAGTTAACATTAGGGTGAATTCGGAAAAGCTTGAGCAGCCTAGTGGGGGAGGAGAGCATAGTCTCTAATGAGAGATCTCAGTTCTGTCAGCCCTGCTGTCCCACCGTCCCCCAGTCCTACTGGCCGGCCCTCTCCCTGCCTCTCCTGCTGCTGCACCCACTCAGGCTCAGGCCCAGGTAGAAGGAAGGCTCTGTGCCTTGGGGCTCCTACCTCTGCCACAGCACCTGATCATCATGACACCTATCCCCTCTCTGCCTTCTCAGTGATGTGGTATGTGTCGCCTGTGAAAAGAGGATGCTGTCAGTGTTCTCCACCTGTGGTCGCCGCCTCCTCCCTCCCATCCTCCTGTCATCCCCAATCTCCACGTTGCATTGCACAGGCTCCTACGTCATGGCGCTCACTGCTGCGGCCACGTTATCTGTCTGGTGAGAGACAGGCCTGGGGTGAGGTGGGCTCCAGGTACGGCAGGATAGGGCTGTATAGGTTCCTCTTCACTGCAGGAACAGGGGAGGCAGTGGAGGAAGCCGCCTAGCAGATATGCCCTTGGGCCCTGCTGGCATGGGGGTCTTTACAGGCAAAGAGACCCAAGCAGTTGGACACTGCTTGTGATGGCCACCGCACATGTGTGTGTACGTGGAGGGGAGGGGGCAGGTATGCAAGCGGAAGTGGGGCAGGCTGCCTACCCCTGCTACCACTTTTATAAGAGCAAACCACATGACAAAACACAATGTGCCAGGGTCCAAAACACAATGTGTGTGTTCATCAGAATGGGATCTCAGCTGCCACAGTGTGACCACGCTTCTCCCAAAGTGGGATGGCATTAGCGACGAGCCCCACAGCTCTGTTGCCTGAGCCCTCTGCTACAGCCTCGTGTGGAGAAAGTAACCTGGCTCATGGGGAGCAGAAGCCTCTTTTGGCCCAGAGCTCCTCTCGGGGAGGCCGGGGCAGGGTGTGCACAGAGACCACAGAGTAGGGGCCTGAGCACCGCGGCGCACTTTCAGGCATTTGCTCAGATTGGAGAGTAAGCTGCTTCTTATCTCCCTCCTAGGGATGTTCACAGACAGGTGGTTGTGGTAAAAGAAGAATCTCTACACTCTATCCTGGCAGGTAACTGGCGATGGGCTGCCCCTGGTGCCCTGATGAGGGAGGGGACAGTGAAGCTCAAGTCCCAAGCTCCACTCAGCCTAGACCAGTGATGGCGAACCTATGACACGCGTGTCAGAGGTGACACGCAAACTCATTTTTTTGGTTGATTTTTCTTTGTTAAATGGCATTTAAATATATAAAATAAATATCAAAAGTATATGTCTTTGTTTTACTATGGTTGCAAATATCAAAAAATTTCTATATGTGACACGGCACCAGAGTTAAGTTAGGGTTTTTCAAAATGCTGACACGCCAAGCTCAAAAGGTTTGCCATCACTGGCCTAGACAGAGAGCCAGAGCCAGTCTCTTGGCTCAGCCCAAGGTACTCAGTGTGACAAGGGGTCACAGTTATGTTGCAGGGAGATGCACCCTCTCTGGGGTGCATTTCATTGGCTCCCTGTGTGGTGACAAAGAACCTGTGGGTGGTGGTGAAAACAGCACTCACAGGGAAGATACTCCCTAGTTGCTGAGTCAGCGTTAAGGCGCCTGTTTCTGGGACTGGGTGCCATGTTCAGATTCCCCTTGGTGCATGTGCAAGCACTGGCTGATCAGAACACACCCAGAATCCATTCTTATGGTGTCTCCCCAGGAAGTGATATGACGGTGTCACAGATCTTGCTTACACAGCATGGAATCCCAGTTATGAACCTGTCCGATGGAAAGGCCTACTGCTTTAATCCGTCACTTTCTACATGGTAAGCAAGCCACCCTTCCCTGGCCCTGCCCCAGAGGAGGTGTCTGTCCCAGGTGGTAACAGGTCATGTGGTACTTGCTCCTCAGACCTGCCTGGCTTGGCTTTTCCTGAGAGTTGGGCCCTGGAGTAGAGGTCACAATGACTGCTTGGTCTCCTCTCTGCTGGAGGAGACAGAACTCAAACCCACCTGTATAGGCCCTACTGTCCCTATTAGAGGCTAGAGGCCCACAGCCTCTCTGCTCTCAGAGCCCGTGTGCAGGGGTGCTTTGCTTTGTCTGCTGATATCACTTTGTTTGGAATAGGCATTTGAAAGTTCTTATGGTTGCAAATATATATTTCCAGCCTGGCTTCCTTAGCCATCATCAGCATCGGTGAGTCAGCTTCACAATACCTTCGCCAGCACATAGCAGTTTTTGAAGTCCAGTAGCAGTTTCGACTTTGTAAATTAGTAAGGTTGCACCATCAGCAGATGTGGTGGTCTGTACCTTTCCTCCACCCATTTAGAATTTGGAGCCCATTTTTATATTTGTAAAATCCTTTCTACATCAGAGATCTCAACCCCAACATGTAAACTGTGTGCATTGTATACCAGCCACTCTGAGAAATTCTTCTGCCTGCACCTTTTGGTCCCTCAAACCCAAGTTCTTGTGGCATTTTTCTGTTCAGAGTTGCCAGGCACAAATTCATCCCATACTGAGATCTCTTTCCTGAGTTAAAAAAAAAAAAAAAAGAAGAAGAAGAAGAAACTCCCCACTGCCTGCTCTTCCATATTGCAAGATGTTGTGTATTATTATGTGATTACTGTAATAATGGAAACAAGCCGGGTATTTAAGAAGGAAAATGTTGGCCCTTTGTATTTTGGGCATGTTTACAAAGGCACCTGGCTGTCTTTAAAGTGCGTAAAGAAAGTTTTCACAAAGATGTGAAGGGTGTGGAGAAGATAAAGAGCTGACTGTCTCGGATGCTGTGGAAGCACATGAAGGCTGGATGCTGGCATTCCTCGAAGCTTCGAAGGGCTGGGCCACGTGGACTAGACCACTTCACACATAGGCCTCCTGGCCCCAGGAGCCTTGTCGGTGACCTTCCCTGTCATTAATGTTCCCTTGTAATGAAAGCTGTCTGTGAGAGACCTGTGGTGAGAATGCAATGACCCTCAGCCTTCGCTGGTGTTCTGGTAACAGGTCTGTGGTGCTTGCTCCTCGGCAGCCTCACTGCCAGCCTACCCTGCTGGACCTCCTGGTTTTTCTGAGCTCAGCTCCTGCCTTTACCTCCCCAGGAACCTGGTTTCTGACAAGCAAGACTCCCTGGCCCAGTGTGCGGACTTCAGGAGCAGCCTGCCTCCCCAGGACGCCATGCTGTGCTCAGGACCCTTAGCCATAGTCCAGGGCCGTGCCTCCACGTAGGTAACCCAAATGCCGGGAGAGGTGACTGGGTTGTGCAAGTACAGTCCCACGCAGGCCAGCTCTCTGATTGCTGTCCCCTGTGCTCAGCTGCTGCTCAGCACAGGCAGATTGTAGGTGCCAAGAGTTTGGGGCCCACATCAGATAATTTCTCAGGGTGCTGGATGCAAGCCCTGTTACTTCAGGTCCCAGATGCAGTTTGAGGTGCCACATGTCATGGGCACTCATGTATTTTGTTTGGGGGTCTGTTACCTCAGGGATCTAAATGGGAGGTACAGAGTGGGGTACACCTGGGGTGCCAGAGCATCCAGGACGTCTGCAACTGAGACATGGGGATGGGTAGGCCAGTGTGGAGCTTGACATCTGCCCCTCTGCTGGCTTCTTGCTGGTGCCCTGGAGTGCATGGTGGTAGCCTCCTGCCCACACAGTACCCACTGCCTCATGATGTGTTTCTGCAGTTCAGGGAGGCAGGCGGCCCGGCTTTTCTCTGTGCCTCACGTGGTGCAGCAGGAGACGACCCTGGCCTACCTAGAAAACCAGGTGGCAGCAGCACTCACCCTGCAGTCCAGCCATGAGTATCGCCATTGGCTCCTCCTCTACGCACGGTACCTTGTGAACGAAGGTGAGGTCCCTGGTGGTTCCTCCATTCTCCTGGGCCCAGCTCAATCCCTGTCCCAACATAACCCTCCTAAAAGCCTGTGAGTCAGGGAAGAGGTACAGTGGCCTAGGGCTCCCTACATTCCTTTCTCCCTGTCTACCATGGTCATCCAAGAGGCCCTAGCCTCCAGTTCCCTGTCAACATGATGCACCCTCAGCCTCCCCACCCCCATCTCCTAGCCTGAGCTGTGATCAGGCTCAGCAGGCATCCAGCCCATTACAGGCTCCCAGCCCTGAAGGGAGTGTTCCCTGAGGGCCAGCAAGATTGGCAGCAGGAGAGGGTGAGGGCAGAGGATATGTGGAAAGACATGCAAATGTGATGCTCAGACTTCTGTTCTTCCCTCACACCCTTGGAGCATCAGTGGTCAGTGACCCCAGGGAGGGTGTCTTGCAGCATCCAATGTGCTTGCACTCCTCTTCCTTTTCGTTGCGCCCCCACATGCCCTGGAAGGACTGGCCTGCTGTCCAGCACCTCCCCTTGTCCCTCCAGCCTAGCTTTCCCTGCCAGGGCTCTCAGCACCTGCATCTCCTTCCCAGCATATGCCCACCCACACTTGCACTGTTGTTCAGCAGAAAGCAAGGTGTGTTACAGGAAGTGACCATCCTGTTCTTAGGGTGACCTCCCAAAGTCTCTCATCCTCTCTGCTAGGCAAGCATGGAGTCCGCCTTACCATTCTCCCTTCCCCTTGAACATGGCCTCCAGAGATGTGGCCTGGGAACTGGCCCTCCCTAAGTTCTCCCTGTGTCACCATGCAGGTTACCAAGCAGCCTCCCGCACAGCCTCTCCCGGCCTGGCTTTGCTTTTGCCATCACCCTCTCCGTTTTGTTTATGATTTAGAGGGTAAAAATGAAGTCTAGAAAAGACAGGAAAAAAGGTCAAACCTCTACAAATTTTATTCCCAGAATTTGTATGTCATGTTTCCTCTGATGCAACTACATGTTCTATATACCTTGCAATCCTATATAATCCTATATAATAAAAGGGCAATATGCAAATTGACCGAACAGCAGAACGACTGGTTGCTATGACGTTCACTGACTACCAGGGGGCAGACGCTCAACGCAGGAGCTGCCCCCTGGTGATCAGTGCACTCCCACAAGAGGAGCGCCGCTCACTCGCCCACAAGCTGGCCGATGGCTGGCTAGCGAGCACAGCAGCGGTGGTGGTGGGAGCCTCTCCGCCTCTGCGACAGCGCTAGACAGCACTAAGGATGTCCGACTGATGGCTTGTCAGACACCCCCTGAGGGCTCCTGGACTGCTAAAAGGCACAGGCCGAGCTGAGGAACACACCCCCACCCCCGCCTCCGAGTGCATGAATGTTGTGCACCGGCCTCTAATAAATATATATATTATACACACACACGCACACACCTCCGAGGACAAGCATGACTGACCAACTCGAAGCCCCTCTCCCTTCCCCAGCAGACTCCAGTAATGAGTTTGATATTTACTCTCCAGTCTGTGTGGTCGCCCAGCATGTGTGGTCACTGGCATTTCTAAATATTCAGTCTTCGCAAGCCCTCCCCCCTTTTCTGGGATGCTCCTCACACCCCATTCTGCTAGGGAAATGCCTCCTCTGGCTCCTCCGGTTTCCTTCATCCTGGCTGTTGATCAGGACTCACCCTGATGCCCTGCATAAAGCCACTGCCTCCTCTGGGCCTGCACCCGTTTGTGAAATCACTTCTGCCGCTCGCTCCTCTTCATCTTTCACGTGTCTGTTCCGGTGTCCATACATAAGTCACCTCCTCCTTTATCCCTTGCTTCCTAACTGTAACAGGAGAACTCAGGTTTTAAAAGGAGACCCCTTTCCTTGAAATTCCTCAGATTCCAGCTTCATCCTCTTATTTCCACTCTCATCTTTGGGTGATTTCATCCATTTCCTGTGGCTTCAGCTGCCCCCAGCGCCTACAGACTCCAGACCTGCCTCTGGCATTTCTGGCACACCACTTGGCTGTGCCCATAACCCTTGACTTGATAGGCCCATGCCTGCTTCTCCTGTCTCTGCTTGGTCACCACCTCCTCAATCTAAACTCATCCCCTCGCCATCTCTTACCTGCTGACCCTGCTGATCTCCTCTCACACTGGCTGCCAAGATGTCTTCTCTCAAATCTGACTAGCCCTCTCCCCTCCTTCTACAATTTCCCATAACCTTGGGGGGTCCATCCCAAAACTGGCCACATCTCATTTTTTCTTGTTGGCCCAGCACAGAGGGGCCACTGCATGCATTGTCAAGGGAGTAGGTGAGTGAGTGAGAATCTGTCATTATGAGTCTCAGTGCCCCAAACTGAGAGGCATGCAAGAGGCATTTTGCCCATTATAGGCAACACAATAAGCCTTTGTTCAGTCTGTTTTGATATACCCAACAACTTAGCATATTCTTGATTTTTTTATTTCTTTTTGTAATGTGTTCCTATTTCTGTTTTGTTTTGTTTTGTTTTTGTTCTTTTCTTTTTTTCTGTAATTAGGGTTTGAATACCGACTCCGAGAAATATGCAAGGACTTACTGGGTCCGGTTCACTACTCCACTGGAAGCCAGTGGGAGTCAACGGTAGTGGTAGGTGCTTCTTTCATTCTTGCCACAAGAATTCTCTTGAAAAGTGAAGGTGGAAATTTAAAAAGTAAGCCAAAGTGCTTTGGAATTCTTCCTCAGTAGATGTCTACAGCACAATGCCTTGGGTCCCAGCATCAGTGAGCAGGTGAGATGCCTGCACTGCACAATCCAGCAAGAGCTGGGCCCTCAGCATGAGGCCTCAGGGGGGTTCACCCATGCACTTGTGCTGAGGAAAGCTGCAAAGCTGCCTGCGCAGGGCTGTGGGTTTGTTCAGGAATGAAGGTGAAAGATCCTTCCCTACCCTCATGGAGCTTGCAATCTGATAGGGAGGCAGATATAAGCCAGTGGGCAATTTAGTCAACAAGAAAGGTTTAGACATGGATTATGCTTAGAAGGAAATGAGCAGATCAGTAAGACAAGCATGCCTGGGGAAGGGTGACCAGGGAAGACCTCAGAAGAGGACTTTGAGGATGAGCCAGCTCTGCAGAGCCCTGGGGAGAGTTTCCTGGTGGAGGTGGTAGTACATGCAAAGAGGACTTGGTACATCGAGGCCACTGTGATTGGGACATAATAGGCAGAAGAGGGTAAGAGATTAGGCAAAAGAGGTGAGCAGGAAGCAGATCATAGAAGGCTTATGAAGATCCAGAGTTTTCGTCTAGGCAGCGGAAGTTATTGAAGGATTTTACACAGATGTGATGTAAGCTGACATAGAAGACCAGTCAGCAGAGGTGACATGAACTAACATAGAAAACTGGTCAGGCCAGACAGCGTGACTCAGTGGTTGAGCATTGACCTATGAACCAGGAAGTCATCACGGTTCAATTCCCAGTCAGGGCACATGCCCAGGTTGTAGGCTTCATCCCCAGTGTGGGGTGTGCAGGAGGCAGCCAGTCAATGGTTCTTTCTCATCATTGATGTTTCTCTCTCTCTCTCTCTCTCTCTCTCTCTCTCTCTTCCTCTCTGAACTCAATAAAAATATGTTTTTTATTTTATTTTTTTATTTTTTTTATATATTTTATTGATTTTTTACAGAGAGGAAGGGAGAGAGATAGAGAGCTAGAAACATCGATGAGAGAGAAACATCAATCAGCCGCCTCCTGCACACCCCCCACTGGGGACGTGCCCGCAACCCAGGTACATGCCCTTGACCAGAATCGAACCTGGGACCCTTCAGTCCACAGGCCGACGCTCTATCCACTGAGCCAAACCGGTTTCGGCAAAAATATGTTTTTTAAAAAAAGAAAAGAAAACTGATCAGGGCTTATTTTTTGTGGGGGGTTTTTTGTTTTGTTTTTTCAAAAGTTCTGGCAATAGATGCAGGTGACTTGGATCAATATGATGGCTATCAAGAGGGAAAAGAAAACAGATTCAGGGTGTGTTTTGGAGGCAGAACAAAAAAAGACTTGGTGTTTGGGTGGTTGGATATGTAGTAGTTGAGGAAAAGAGAAAAGTGAATGTGTGGTCTAAGGTTCTTTTGGCTAGTGTATTGATTGAATTGAAAAAGGAGCAGGTTGGTGAGGAATGGGAGAAGTTGTGGGTCCAAGAGTTAGCTTCAGTGCTTCATTCAGTCACTGACAAAGACTGATGGAGCACCTTCTCTGGCCAGGCGTAGTCTAGGCACAGGGCAGGCAGCAGTGACTAAGGCTGACAGGGGCCCCACCTTTATGATCTTCATTCTTGTGGAGAGAGGCAGATTCAAAACAAGTGAACAAGTACATTCAAAGTGTTGGGTGGGGGTGGGTGCCATGGAAAAAAATATATATAGGGCGGGGGTAAGGGAGTACTGGCAGGATGCAATTTTATATATTGGGTGACCAAGAAAGACCTAATTGACTGAGCAGAGACCGGAAAAGGTGAGAGATGAAGCCCCACAGATATTTGGGGAAAGAATATCCAGGCAGAGGGAACAGCAAGTATAAAGGCCCTGAGGTTGGGGTTGGGCGTCTTGCAGCATAAGAGGAACAGCTGAACAGAGTGGCAGTGAGAGAGTCAGTCTCACGAGGTTCTAAAGACCTTTGTGTATACTTGGTCTCCTCTTTTTATTCCCTTTTTTAAAAAATATTTTTTATTGATTTCAGAGAGGAGGGGAGAGGGAGAGAGAGATAAATACCAAAATTGAGAAAGAACCATTGATCAGCTGCCTCCTGCATGCCCCCCACTGGGGATCGAGCCCACAACCCAGGCATGTGCCCTTGACTGGATTTGAACCCGGGACCTTTCCACAGGCCAACACTCTACCCACTATGCCAAACCAGCTAGGGCTCCCTTTTTATTGTGTTACAATAGATCTTAATTTGGTTGGCTAAAAAAATCTTAGAGCTTTGAAGATATTATGCTGTGCCACAGACTTTTATCATCCACTGTTGTTGCTAAAAACTGCCAGGAATCTGATTTCCATTGTTTTGTAAATTATTTTGGGATCGACCCTTACTTGGTGTTTTGAAGTTTCACAAAGCTCTAAGTCTATGTCTTTCATTCATTCTGTGTATTTTCCTAGGTTCTCTTTGATTATATTCCATTTTCCCCATCATGAGAAATATAATATCCTCTTTTTGGAATCTGTTACATTATTTTTATAGTTTCAGTTCTCCCCATATTTTCAATTTAGTCTTTTATCTACTTGAGCATCGTTCTACTATGAGGAGCCCTTATAGATCTGTTTGTATTTCCTATAAATATTTCTGCTAGTCCTCATTTATATTGTCTTACCTCTTTATGTGCCTGGTTGGTTTTGACTGTCTGCTAGACTTGGTATTTGAATGATTATTTGTAGAAGTGTTTTGAAGCCTCAGTAATGTTACCTTCTTCAACAGAGCACTTTTATTTGCTCTTGGCCCTAGCCCTACAAGGCTCCCTCAACCAATTCAGGGATTGAAGTCTTCTGGGCTACCTGGGGACTCAAAGCTGGGTACTAATTAGTGCACGGACTGGTTTACTACCAGTCTACCCTTATTCTAGAGTGCATTTCTTTGGAGACTAGCACAAAGGAAGGGGGATTTATCAGGGACCCCACTTTTCATGAGTCCTGTGCCCCTGCTTTGGTCCCCCTAAGCCCTCAAGTCTAATAGTTGCTCTGCTCAGCCTCTTCCTCATCAATGAGTGTTCCCAAGCCCTAGCCAGTTTGGCTCAGTGGATAGAGCGTTGGCCTGTGGACTGAAGGGTCCCAGGTTCGATTCCCGGTTAGGGCACATGCCTGGGTTGTGTGCTCAATCCCCAATGTGAGGTGTACAGGAGGCAACCAATCAATGATTCTTACCATTGATGTTTCTCTCTCTCTCTCTCTCTCTCTCTCTCTCTCTCTCTCTCTCTCTCTCTCTCTCTCTCTCTCTCCCTTCTTCTCTGAAATCAATTAAAATAAAATAAAATAATAAGTGTTCCCAAGGCAAAGGTGTTTCTCTCTGGATTTCTACCTTCTCCACACTCCAGCTCAATCCGCTAGCACTTGAGCTCTCTGAGGTCTGTTTCTCTTTTTCCAGCTTTGTCCCCTTTCTCAGTGGGAAAGGTTTTTCTGAATTCCCTATAAGAACACCTCACCTCTAGGCAGGCTGATGGGCTATCTGCTGAGGTGGGAGACAGGTAGGCCAGTGCCCAACCAACCACTCCTGTGGGCTTCACTCTGGGAGCCTTAGGGCAAAGTGTCAGCAAGAGCTCTACGTAACAGTTCTCTGTCACAGCCTGAAGGTAAGCCTTCTAGGCCAGTGTGGTGCAGGCAAAAGGGAGCACAGACAGGCCACTGATTCATGGCCATGCACTCTCCCTGCCTCCTCCTCCCGGCTGGTGGTTTTTGCTATCTCTGAGTAGGATGCCTTATTAGGGATTTGCCCAGGAGAGTCTGTGGCTTCCTTCCTAGGAAGCACTGTCAGTGTGGTCCCACTTGCTTTTCCTGTGAACTGCTTAAAATAGCTGGTCTGCTCATAGTGCGTGGGCAAATCCACAACAAAATTTCTAGAAATTGCTTTGTGGGAATTCTTATATATTAGGGAAATTACTCTTTGTGATATGAGCTGCTAGTATGCCTCCAAAGATCCAGTCTTCTTTCCCTCAAGGATCATGACTCAGTGTGCATAGGAGGGAGGTGGGAACAGAGGGTTGGCACTAAGCAGCCATCCTTCAGGTGCCTGAGCTCTGTGCTCACCACTATCTCTTCAGCCAGGGCCTGCTGTTGGAAGCCCCTCTGCAAAGGTCTTTATTGTAGGACCTGTGTCATTGGCCAGAGAGAGGGTGATGAGCTGTTTCCAGGCTGCTGCCTGAAACAGTGAGGAGCATCACCTATTACTGAGCCCTGGGTAGGAGATGATACTTGATGGCTGTTGGTATTGAAACCAGCCTTCAGGCCAGGTAGACCCTCTTGTAGCTTGACCCTGGTGCTATAGACCATCTGAAATTTTTACTTGCTAATAGCAGTTTATTTGATATCCTTTCATTTTCTTTTTCTTTTTTTAATATATTTTATTGATTTTTTACAGAGAGGAAGGGAGAGGGATAGAGAGTTAGAAACATCGATGAGAGAGAAACATCGATCAGCTGCCTCCTGCACGCCCCCTACTGGGGATGTGCCCGCAACCAAGGTACATGCCCTTGACCAGAATCGAACCTGGGACCCTTGAGTCTGCAGGCCGACGCTCTATCCACTGAGCCAATCCGGTTAGGGCTCCTTTCATTTTTTTAAATAGAGTTTTTCAGGTTTTAATTTAAATTTTTTTTGTTGTTTTTTTAATTTCTTGGTGATTTTTTTTAATTGATTTCAGAGAGGAAGAGAGAGATAGAAACATCAATGATGAAAGAGAATTGTCATCAGCTGCCTCCTGAACACCCCACACTGGGGATGAAGCCCACAACCCAGACATGTGCCCTGACCAGGAATTGAACCTTGACTTCCTGGTTCATAGGTTGAAGCTCAGCCACAGAGCCACACCAGCCAAGCCCAAACATTTTTATTAGAGACCAGAGAATAAACATTTCAGGCTTTGCAAATCCATATGATCACTTACAACTACTCAACTCTGCATTGTAGCATAATATCTAAACAAATAGGTAGGTATGTCTGCATTTTGATAAAATTATTCACTAAATAGTTAGGATGGATTTGGCCCAAGCCAATTCACAATCTACATGAGATCTGTTATTTTGTTGAGGTTTGCTTTTAGAGCAATTTTTCATATTTCCATGTGTGCCAAAGAAGAATTTGTGTTCTCTAGTTCTGAGTGCCTTAATGCCCTAATGGTCATGTTTACAGAATGTTCGGTTTGAGTTACCTGAATTACCTTTCTGGACACATCCCTAATGAAGTGTGTATTAAATCTCCCTATAAGCATAGTTTTGTCCCTCTCTCCTGACTTTCTCTTTTTCCAAAGATGTTTTTGTTTCAAACTCTACTTTGATAATTGTAAAACACACACTTTTATTTACTAACATAATCTTTCTCCATCTTTAACTTTTAACATTTCTGTATCCATGTTTATGTGTTTTTTTGCCAACATCATGTGTCTGGCTTCTGTTTAATCTGACAAGCTGAGGATTTTTTAATCACAAATTGAAATAATTTATATTTTTTGTTTACTTTTTTTTTAAGACCAACATAAACTTTAGCAAGAGGTTGATCACATTACTTTTCATATCTCTTTTAGCATCATCTCTTTATTTCTTCTTATTTTTGAGTACTTTCTAGAACATTTTCAGGGTGGATCTTTACTGTGGTAAACATTCTGAGGTCTTACAAGCCTAAGATTATTTTTTATTACATCCTCTTATGTGAATAACTGCTTAGCTGGATGAAAAAGTAGATTATGAGTTTTCCCCCAGTATATTTAAAATACTATATTGTGCCTCTTGGTGTCTCTTCCTTTGTGGGTGATATGCTCTTGTTTTTTAGAACTTTTCAGAATTTTTTTGTGTTTGATATCTATAGATTCTGTGTATTTCATTCTAATGTATCTAAAATACCTTTTTTTTTTCTTTCATATCTTCATCAGCACTCAATGAAGCCTTTCAACCTAAGGCAGTTCCTTTTTCTTGAATTGTGTGAAATCTATCCATATTATTTCTTCAAATATTTCCTTCTCTCTTTTGTGTCTCTCTCCTGTGGGATTCTTGTAGATGTTGGGCCCATTTCCATACTTCATCTGCCCTTACTTTATCTTACAGTCTCTTCCCTTATAGTTTCCCCTCTGCATGCCCCCCTGCTCGAGCACTGGCTGCTCTTCCATCTGACCCACTTGACTCGGTCTTCAGCAGGGTCCATTCTCCTGCTAATTCCATCTCTTTTAGCCACTGTATTGCTCAAACTTAATCCCTACACTTTGTTCTTTTCTGAAATTCTTTGTGTGGTTACCATGCTGCTTTAACATTTGGACCTTCTCCTCTAATGGTCAATATTTTTGGTTAGTGGTTTTCCCTTTGCAGCAGCTGTGCTCCTCGGGGTTCTGTAGAGTGGAGACCCTGCCTGGCAGTGCATGTTGCAAAGGGTCCAGGCAGACCTTGGTACCAGTGCACCCAGGCATGGAGGAGGTGTGGGCAAGAGCCAAGGGCAGACCGTCCCCCAGGACTGTAAAACCAAAGCCAGTCATTGACTCCCAGGTGCCACCTCACCCCTGGGCTTGACCTCAGACCCCTGGAGAGCATATGCATGAGGGAGCAGCCCCCCTCAGGTGGCCATCTACTTGTCTCTCTACCCTGATATTCTACTTGCATCCACCTCTGGAAGGCCAAGCTACTGTGGTCACTGAACAGTGCAGTTGAAGGCTAGTGGTGACTGTGCCCGCAGACTTAAGGGGCACAGACCCACCCTGGTTTTCTCTGTAGTATCCTTGCACTGTGTCCTTCCCCTGCACCCTGCCACCCACCCCACACGCCCAGGTCAGCCTTTCAGCTCTCCCAGGGCTTCTTAGCATGCAGAGAAATTTTTCTCATCCATCTCTGGTTTCTCCAAGGGGTCCCTAGGGGTCAGATGGGCAGGCACAAGGGTCTCTGTTAGGCCAGGAAACCACCCACAGTCTAGGTCTCCTCACTTACACTTGCACTGAGCCGTCATTTCTGTGCCCACAGGGTCTACGGAAGAGGGAGCTGCTGAAGGAACTGCTGCCAGTCATCGGGCAGAACCTCCGCTTCCAGCGTCTCTTCACCGAATGTCAGGAACAGCTCGACATCCTAAGGGATAAGTAGCCTGCCCACATCTGCCCCAACTGCAGCCAGGGCAGGGCCACCTCTCACCTTGTCAGGCTATAGTAGGACAAGGAGACACTGGCAGGAGGTGGTCTGTTGCTGCTCCCGTGGAAGGAGGCAGCTCTGCTGGCAACTCGTCCCTCTCTCCAGGACCCCCATGCCGAGCAGGGGCTGGGGCTCCGCCCTGCTGCCCTGGGATCAGCGAGGCACACCCAGACCGACCGTCTTCAGCACGGTCCAGAGGTGGACACTAGCCCCTGCCACTGCAGGTGCCGTGCTGCTTCAGCTATGACGAATGAGCCATTTGTGAAGAGAGAGCCCTGAGATGTATTAGTGTATTATGCAGTCAGTAGACTGACCGAGACCTATGTAAAAGGAAAGACTATTCCAACACAAAGACTATTTTTGTACTAGAATTTGCTAACTTGTAATACGGAATTTTCCTTTTGGCCAATAATCAGGATTTCCCTATAAGTCACTTGAACATTGGTTACTTGTAGGAAAAAATTTAAACTCTAATTATGACAGCTACATTGAAAAATAATTGTACTGAAATTAACTTGTCTATCTTCATTTGGTTTTAATTTTTAAATGTTTGTAAAAAGAGACTGTTTTGGGGGGATAGGGCAGAGGGTGGGTGATTTCTTTTGTAAGTGTAAAATAAATGAACACGCATTGGATACCAAATCATCCTGATTTCCCCTGCCTTTCCTTCAACTTCCACCTTCTCCCACAACTGTGGGTCCCTCCTGAAACGGAGCATGACAGAACATCATAGTCAGAAGGGATCTCTGATGTCATCTGATACCACCACTCCCACCCCAGCCCCTCCTTCTGGAAATTCATTTCTCAAAGGGGAGGTCACTCCCCTGGTCATACAGCATCTTAGACAGAGCTGGGGCTCTCAGGCAGTCCACCTCGCATGATTCTTCTTCCAAACCAGCCATCGAGGTCCTTGGTTCTGGCTGGGCTGTGCCCCAGGTCCCTGATCATGCTGGGCACCAAGGACTGTGGCAGACTTGCTGATTTCATGGAAGGATATCAGTAAGTAAAGACTCATGTTTTCTGAAGTATTATATCTGGAAGCTGAGAGTTTCTTAGGAAGTGGTCTAAGAAGCTGACCCACAGGAGAGGAGAGAGCTAGAATGACAGAATCTTCAAATTTGGTGAGGGCTGAGCACCTTCACCCCTGGGTCATGGACCTCATTATCACCTCCCTGCCAGCCGTGTGTGATCCTGAATCTGAGGAAGGAGGCCTGGACTCGGGATCAGAAAGCCCAGGCGACTCTGGCCACTGGCATCTCTCTGACTGCTTCCCTGCCTGGAGGCCATCTACCTGCCTGTCTCATCTGTCTGGTGGCTGGATGAGACCCAGGCACATATGCATGCCTGACATGGCCAGCACACAGGCGGATATGGGCATAGACACCTCTAAAGCCAGGCTGCAAGTGTGAACTTTTCTTCAAGGAGTAAGGAAGCAAAGATGCTCTGTGGCCAGGCACCTCCCTTAACAACTCTGCAGTGAGACGTTGAGAACTTCGGGCCTACAAGCTACACATGGCTGAAGAACTGACAGGCCTGTCTGGGGTCTGAATCAGCAAAAATCTGGGCCTTACTTTTCAGCTGTCAAATGGAGCTGAGGTTAAGAAAACATGGTTGTGAGAACTAACTGGGATCATGTAGGCAACATCCTGGCACTTGGCAATGCTCTGTTGAAAACTTGGGGCAGTCAGTGTTTTTACACTACTATTTGGACAGGAAGACAAGAAACAAAGTTGGAGACTTCTGCTTTCAGTCGAGATGAGTAAGGGGCCCAATTGTCCCTCCTGTCTGAAACAACCAAAGGAACAAAATACATAGAACAAATTACTGGTCTTGAGACACTGGTTATCAGAAAACAAAGGACAGTGATCCCTGGGAGATGGAAAACAAACAAGATGAGCCCTACGACTGCAAAAACCGACTCTATTGTTAGGTGGTGGGCCTACACGGATGCTGAAAGGGCAGTCTGCAGAGGTACTACAGGGAAACCCATTTTAATTTGAACGTGAACAGTCTATTCTCTAACATTTTTGGCTACTAGACTGTAAAGCTATTGTGCAGATAATCGCATCGTCGCTGTGTTGTTCGTGGTAGAAAATAGCCAGTGAGCAACCTGAAGCATTCAAGAACGATAGCGCTCACTCTGTGGGAGTGCCAACGCAGAATGCCAAAGGCGTCCCCTTCCCTGGCAAACATCTTTTATGCAGCCGAGCCATCTGCATTCAGAAGGCATGTTCAAGTGGTCCCTCTGAAATCAACTGGCCGCTGGGCAAAGGTGTGGCTTCTAGTTATGGACCTGCCACCATTATGTATTCTTGTGCAATCACAAGCAAGCCAGGCGACCCTCAGTTGGTCATCTGCTGCTAGATGCGATCTTTGCAGACTCTTCACACTGATATTCTGACACAGTATTCTCTAGAAATCCTATCAGCCATGAAGGATGCTTCCTAAAGGAGCAGGTGCTGAGCCTGGGGCAGGAACACATCAGTCACACACACACACACTTGGAAGCCGCCTTTTAGTTTTAGGCATATCTTTGACTGAATTTTAGAAATTGTCCCTGAACCCGCCGGCCGGTGTTGCTCAGTGATTGAGCATCGACCTGGGAACCAGGAGGTCACAGTTCAGAGCACATGCCGGGTTGCGGGCTTGATCCCCAGTGTGCAGCATGCAGAAGGCAGCCCAACGATGACTCTCTTCATTGATGTTTTTATTTCTCTCCCTGCCTTTCTGAAAAGTGTCCCTGAACCCAACTGCCCAGAAGTTGAGGGGATTTCTGCAGAGATGCAAGGCCCTAGGCAAGGGCGGCCGGTGACTCAGTTTACCTCTCCTGAAAACCCCATCACTCCCCGAACTTGCTGAGGGCAGCCCACACCTGGTCTGGCGCCCAGGCTCACCCGCAGCAAGAGCATGGCCGGCCCCTCCGCGCCACCTCCCCGCGCCCTGCCCAGGGCGGCGCGCTCGCCGGGTCTCGGGGTGTGGGAAGCGCGACCACACGCGGACTACTTTGCGCGGACCCTCGGCGGAGGGCGCAGGGGTGCCGCCACCGCCGGCGGAGGGAACGCCCGCGGCCCGAGCCAGTGCGCCTGCGCCGCCGCCCCCGCACTTCCCACCCCATCCGTCTGCGCGTCTGCCCGTCCGCGGGGCCGCTCGCGCGACAGGAGCCGCCGCCGCCTCTGCCCCGCGCCCTTCCTCGCGCAGGTCCTCCCTCCGCTCCAGGAGCACTGCCAGGTGAGGACCGATTCTCCGGGACCCGGCGGGCTCTCGGGCAGGTCGCGCGCTCCGCCTGTCAGCCGCGCTCCCCACCCCCACCCCGTCTCCCTGAGGACCTGGGGGCGCCGCTGACCAGCCCCCGGCTGGACCCGACCCCGGTGGGGACGGCGCCGGTTCCCGTCTGCTGGGGCGGCCGGAGACGCGGACCGCAAGACGTGCTGCTCGGGAGGGGCGGGGACGGGGCGTCCGGGCGGCCGCTCTGGGCGCTCCAGGGGTGGGACCCGAAACCCGCTGGCAGGCCTTGGCTCACATCAATTAATAAATTCTGCGGCCCTAACCGGTTTGGCTCAGTGGATAGAGCGTCGGCCTGCAGACTGAAAGGTCCCAGGTTCGATTCCAGTCAAGGGCATGTACCTTGGTTGCGGCACATCCCCAGTGGGGGGTGTGCAGGAGGCAATTGATCGATGTTTCTAACTCTCTATCCCTCTCCCTTCCTCTCTGTAAAAAATCAATAAAATATATTAAAAAAATAAATAAATTCTGCGGCACATCCACAATAGATATATTTTTGCCGACCTGACAACAAAGTAGGTATAACTTTGCTTCATTCACACGGGACGGCTATTGTATTGGCTATTTTATTTTTTATTTTATTTATTATTATTTATTTATTTTTTACAATCTAAGGGAAAAGAGGTCCGTGCCCCTGACTGGTCGGGGGTTGCGTGTTTTAAAAATTCTTGTGGGGACACCGGTTGAAAATCGCTGAACTAGACTGGCTAGAGATGCACATACATTTCTGTCCCAAGCTTGGTAACTCCAAAACCTGCATCCAGTCCTAAATTTCCCTTTCTGTATCTTGTGATCCTTACACTAGAGCATCGGTTCTCAACCTGTGGGTCGCGACCCCTTTGGGGTCGAACGACCCTTTCACAGGGGCCGCCTAAGACCATCGGAAAACATATATAATTACATATTGTTTTTGTGATTCATCACTATGCTTTAATTATGTTCAACTTGTAACAATGAAAATACATCCTGCCTATCAGATATTTACATGACGATTCATAACAGTAGCAACATGACAGTTATGAAGTAGCAACGAAAATAATTTTATGGTTGGGGGTCACCACCACATGAGGAACTGTATCAAAGGGTCGCGGCATTAGGAAGGTTGAGAACCACTGCACTAGGGTGACTTCATGGGGGAAGGATCTTCAAATTGCGTGACCAAACAAGAAAATCATTCCTTTTTAATTATAGAATAATTGCATATTCATTAGGGTCAACAATCAACTTTTTTTTTTATTATTTATTTATTTTGGTTAATCCTCACCCACAGAAATTTTTCCATTGATTTTTGGAGAGAGTGGAAGGGAGGGGAAGAGACAGAGACGTGGATTGGTTGCCTCCCACATGTGCCCTGACAGGGTGGGAGCCTCCCAACCAAGGTACATGACCTTGACCTTAATCGAACCCTGGACCCTTCAATCCAAGGGCCAAACTGGTTAGGGCAAAGTATTATGGTTTGTTATCATAAGATCCTTTCAATACAACAGCACCCCCAAAGTTTAGCTTTTTAAATGAGGTTCTAGTTTGTTCTGCCTATAACTGTCCTCATACAGTTTTGCCTTGAAAAAATAAACATGGTCTGCCTGTATTTGAACAACGGTTCAGTACAGGCACTGTGCACAGGGCTTCACTCAATCACACGCATGTGTCACACTTGTGAAGGGTGTTGTAATTCTCATTTTCTGGGTGAGATGGGGCTGGATGGATAGAAGTAGCCACTGGCTCTGTCCCAAGTGCTTTATGTTAAATCACTACAGTCCGTAAGATACTGTTGAAGAAACAGGCATAGAGATGTTAAATAAGTAACTTGTCTTCAGTCATTCATTGAATAAGAGCAGGATTCAGACTCAGGTCTTTTTTTTTTTAATATATTTTTATTGATTTCAGAGAGGAAGGGAGAGATAGAAACATCAGTGACGAGAAAGAATCATTGATTGGCTGCGTCCTGTGCAGATTAAGCCCACAACCCAGGCATGTGCCCTTGACCAGAATGGAACCTGGGACCCTTCAGTCCGCAGGCCAACGCTCTATCCACTGAGCTAAAATCATCTAGGGCAGACTCAGGTCTTTTTTGACTAGACAGTATAGCAAGGAACGTGATGGATTGAAAGGTCATGTTTTCACAATACAGTGCACTTTTTAAAAATAATATATTTTCTCCTTTTTAAAAAAA